TATCAGCTCTAATTCTTGTTGCCCAATTAGAACCTTTATTCATTAATGAGTTCATAGTATCTGAAATTCATAAAAGTATTGTTTAGAATCTTAAATATGCGGTTAAAGTTCCATGCACTTATACTATGAAAATGCTGGAAATAGTGCATTCTTGGTGGAGAACAACTTAGAAATGCTTTACCATATGGAAATTATTGAATTCGAATGTCTGGGAAGTATATTGTGTCTTGGGGCAAAACACCAAATTCATCCTTCATATGCACTGAGATGATGCTATTAAACAAAACATATCGTAACTTCGTCTTCTCTTCTTGGGGTTCCGGCAGTCATATATGCTCATGGGATGATTTCAATTTGGAGACCTCTCTGCAAGTGTTAACAGCTTTTTTCTTTGTGATAATTTCCAGTTAGTTCTGTTTTTCATATTGCGTAATTCTTTCAAATGTTTAACTTTTGCAAAGCTTCTACCCTGCTTGTCTTTATCTGGTAATAACTTGTTGAAAGTCCATTTGGGCTTGATTATTTCCACAAGTCATCACATTGTCTTAAAACAGGAAATGTGGATTTTCCCTGTAGTTTTCTCTAAGAATACCTCATTTTATGAGCATATTTGGAATAACATTTGCTAATAGCCTTAGTATCAACTTCTTAGGTTTTGCCAAGGTTGAATGCATAGCCTAGTGAAACCACAGTTGTTGAATCTAGAATCGAAATCGTATTTTTTGAATCGAGAATTGAGAATGTAATCGTATCGTAAGATTCGATTGTTCAATTAAAAATTATTAATTTTATTCAAAAAATATTAAAAATCCAAATGCAAATCATAAAATAAAATTGAATTGAATGACATATAATATGTCAATACCTGATTGAATGACATATAATATGTCAATACCTGATTGTAATTGCAGAGAATATAATAGTAATTGTGTGAATTAGTTTGGACTTTAATTGTAAATATTTTGTTTCCTTGGGACGTGACAATGATTAAAGTGCACTACAAATAGTCTACTATGCATATATGGAAAAATTAGTCATTTCTCCTTTAGTAATATATGTTCAAATTCTCTCTGTTTAATTATTTTTATGGCTCTGTTTTCTTTCTCTTTCTCCTCCTCTCTTCGTATAGGTTCTCTCTTCTATATTCTACTTGTTTCTCAGCAAACAAACATAGATTAGACAATGCATGGAGCAGTTTTCTCTTTTATTTTGCTTTTTTCCAATTGATTTCTGAATCGTGTGAATTGACCATTTCATTGCGATTCGTACGATTAGCTGCCGATTTGACCGATTTATCACTGATTCAGGCTTCTTTCCGATTCTACGCTAAGATTCGTATCGTTTTCCATTAGTTTCGATACGAATCGTATGATTCGAATCGTGAATCATACGATTCTAACAACATTGTGTGAAACTACTTTGAACTCTGTTATTAACCTTTGATTTTAAAAACTTTAGTACACACATGCTCTTCCTCACAGTCTTATTTAGAGGTACTGATATATACTTGCTGAGATGACTCTTGCTTTCTGCACTGTTCATCACAACTTCTTTGACTTTATACAAGGATTTTAACTTGACAAAAGGTTCCTTTTTTAATTTCTGAAGTTCTCAAGAAAGAAGAAGAGGAAAGGAAAGCTAAAGAAGGCAGTTCTCGCAAAGTTGTTCGCACTGGTCAGCTGCTAACTAAAGATCTACTTGTTAACTTAACTTTTAAGCATATATGTTATATGATACGCGTAATCCATTTTTATAGGTAAAGTTGGAGGTCCAGACTTGAAAAGTTTCATGCGGCAATTTCCGATTGCTTCAGAAGGTATGACATTCTTTGGCTATAATATAAGAATGATGTTTCATGGTTACCAAAATTTGTCATCGTACCAAATCTAGTTACAAAAGTAAATTAAATTTGGATAGTGGATATGGTAACAACATGGCATAGACTCCTGAACATGCCAACATGTATCCAATGAAGAACTTTAGAAAAGTAGCTTGCTGTAATTTTTAATATGATGCACATTTTACATGCATATTTTCTCACTGGAAGAATTCCTGTGCGGTGAATGCTTGTCAAATATTATATTTATGCTGACAATTTTTGCGTAACTGTATTGTTCTCAAGGTGAGAAGCTTGGTGAAGAATCAGATGCAATGGATAAACAGAGGTGGGTTGTCCTAAATGTCCAATTGTTCAATTATTACTTAGTTGGGGTTTTGACATTTGAGACAGTTGCAATGTGATTACTTGCTTGTGACAAAGTTTAGGCATTGTTTTATCAGTTGAAATATAAGTCCATCATTTTCCTAATGGAAATTGTCCTTAAACCTGTACCGCTGTTTTTCAAGTCCATGCTGTGGAGTTGGAATATTTATATGTCCCACTTGAGTCTATTCCATCGCTCTATGTGTGTGCACACAAATGCATGTCTGCTCATTGCTGCATCTTTACTTGCTTGAAGTGTTTATGTTTGGGTTTTCAACAAGACAGCTTATTCTGTGCGTGTCTGCCTGTGTGTTCATAAGCAATGCTTCTCATTCTGTCTCCAAGAAAACTGGACCAAGTAGTGGTTTAATCTCTTGTATTCCTTGTTGTTTTGAGGGAGACCTTTCCTTACAACTTGACCTGAATTATTTTCCCCGTGTCAAGAGAATTCTGTGCTTTCAATAAATGGTTGTTCAAGTTTCTAATTTAGTCCTGTAATGTTTTAAGTTTCTAAAGTGTTGGATCTCACAATATCTTCATGCAAATTGATCTCTCCCCTCCCCCAGTAAATACATAATTGTCGTACAAGCTCTTTCTTTTTTGTGGATATTTGACTCCTATTATATTTGACAGAACAAGAGAAGCAGAAGCAGAGATTGCAAATGGAGAACCTCTACCAATGTAAGTATGCATGTATTTCTACTTGCATGTCACATAATATAGTTATAGATCAGAGTTGTCTATTGCGTCATAGAGATTTTGGTGTTACTTTTGTCAAGTTTGGGAAGCAGCCAGTATCAGGGAAATGGGAATTACCTGGGTGGTGCATTTGCTGTATTTATTTGGAATCTAGTGAATGCCCAGTGGCCAGTGCTAGAATTTCCATGTAACTTCAGTTGCTTTTCACTGATTACAACAATTACATACAAGCAAATGCCCACTCGAGCAATGCTTTTGCTTATGAATTGGTTAAACCAAATTTTCAGGTCTTCAGAAGCAACAGGCTCTGGTGCAACCTTCAAGCCTGGAACATGGCAACCGCCAATATGATACTGGTTAATCTCTTATTGCCACTCATAAAACAGTCAGTCGTTTGGCGCTCTTTATTTTTTTTATAACTAGATTTTACAAGCTTCACTGGTGAGATGCATCATTTTCTGTTGGAATATATACAATTTAGGCATTGTCTATCTGACTTTTTACTTTTTTGATCATACTGGGATTTTCTAGGAGAAGGCCCTAATTTCATGCAAGCACAGAAATATTATTTGAAATTTCTGTCATGATGTATAATCATAAGAGTAACTTGGAGTTTTCTGCATATCATTTTGTATAAGTTCTAACAGTAGAGCAACTGTCACAATTTTTGAAATGTGATTCATCATTCTTTATCTTCTTTCATTATAACTATCTTTTTTTCCTACCATATGGAGCCTAAACATGGTGTCAAATGCCATCAAATGCTGCTCTACTTTATATTGTTGTTTTGCTACTTCGAATATGAAATTGACAAAATGCTCGGGTTATCCGCTGAATTTTTTGCTCATGAATCTCTTGCCAATGTTGGCACAGAGACGATTTTTGGATCGTTACAAGCTCTTACAGGGTAAAATAGTGGCTGTATGTTAGTGATGAGCAGTTGCTAAGTCAATTCTTGTTATGTTTGGTTGGATGTAATGCAATGTAAACAAATATGTAATGTAACGAAAAATGTGATGAACTACTGTTGGTGATTTCAACATTGACACTTGGTTGCGTGGAGGTTTTGAGGGTTCCCACGCTCCACTTGTGAGAGTAGGACTTGCACTAGTCACATGAATGAAATTACTAGAAAGCATAAGAAGGAAGCTTCCACTTGGCACTTTAGAGAAGGTGCCACCGTCATTTTCCAGCATGTTCTTTCTCATCGTTTCCGGATAGTGCTTATCTAGTCCACGTCTACTGTTGCCCAAGTGTTGACCACGCTCCTCCATTTTCCTGAGGGAATAATCATGTACTCGAAGTGCTTACAGCTATTGATATTCGGTCGACTGGTATTTTTTTTTTTGTTTGGTTTTTAAAAATTGATATCGAAATGGAATTGGAATCATAAAGCATTGATGCAATTTTAATTTAATTAATGAAATGAAGGTTTTTTATGATATACAGTTTAAGTGAAAATTTTATGAGTGGTTCTTAGAATTTCATTTAAGAATAAATTTAAATTGATTAATAAACAATAATCATTTCATGTTTATTAAAATTAAAAATGTGACAAAAATATTATTGACTAAGGGGTCATCAATAATCAGTAGTTATTTCTTATCCATCAATAATCATACATGCAAAAAAGATTATTGACAATATAATTTGTGATAGATGATTTTAAAAAAATTGTATTTAATATAAATATTAAAATTTTAAATAATAAATTAAAAAAATTTATTCTTCATTGATAAATTATTTTTGAATTATTTTTTTCACTCTAGTTATGACATACGCTACTCATGGAAATGTACAATGTACGGTACAGTTTCTTTGCAAACAACGGAAAACTTTGCTGGACTTGTATTGAACACGCGCCAAAAAGAGTGTGGATGCCCCACGCCTTAGAAATTAAAGGTCAATAGTCAAATCCAAATCTTAAACCCCACGCTGTCGATTCCTACAATCTAACGGTCACCATTAAACTAACTCTTCCCTTTCACCATATATGAACTCTACGTGAAAACAACAACGACACGAGAAAAGCTCCCATTTCTCATACAGGAGGCAACCACCGTTCTTTCTTTTTCTAGCAGCTTCTGAAAATCACAGTTTCAGTGTTTTCAGTTAGGTTTTTATTTTTGTATTTTCTTCTTAAACAGTGAAGTCACCATGTACATATCAACTTCTCCTCCTTCTTCACTTCTCTCCAGGTCTGGCTTCGCTTATAGAATCTCCTCTTCTCTCGCCTCATTTTCATCACCTTCGCTCTCTAGAGTCTCGGCTGCGACGTCGTTTACTTCTTGTCTCCCGACGGTGTCGTTTCGCTATCAGAAATATCGTTATTTGAGCTTTTCGCGGTCTTTGCGGTGCTCTGCTCCACTATGGAGCCATGGAGTTGATTGGCACTCTCCGATCAGTCTACGTGCTCAGGCCCGAGTTTCCTCTCCTGTCGTTGAACGAAGGCTTTCTACAATGAGTATATTCCTTTAAAATTTTCGGTCTCTTCGTTGTTTTTATTGTTGCTTTGCGCTGTTGTGTTCTATTTGCTGCAACCTTTTGTTTTTAGTTTTTATTTTCTTTTAGTTACTTTTTGGTTAATAAGATAAAAATGGCAAAAAAAAAAAAAAAAAAAAAAAAAAAAAAAAAAAATAAAAAAAAAAAAAAAAAAAAAAAAAAAAAGAAAGTTGAATTTAATTGTTGTCTTGGTTGTGACTTGTGATTACACCGTGAAGTCGTTTACTCTTCTGTTTAGAAGAACATGGTGCAAAAGGAACCGAATTCTGCCAATTGTATAGTTGATGTGCCTTTATATATATATAGTCATAACTGAATTTCTTTATAATGGTGATGTTGATGATAGTTGATTATTGCTAATATAAACATCACGGGGTTCTGATCAAGTATTTATTGCTAGTCGTTTTGATGGGTGATTAAACTGTGTTGACATGCCTTTTTTTCTTTTTTTCAATTAGAAAATGTTGGGGGATAAGATTGAATCGCAATGCTTGTCTACTATTTTTGGTTAATTTTGGTTTGTGATTTAATAGGCTTTATGGCAATGGAGTTGTGTTTATATCCTCTGCTTGCTGGATAACTAAGAATTGAAAAAAATATACTCATGCTGTTACATTTAGTTGTAGTTGCGGGCATAGTTGTCAAATGAATTGAGAATCATGAATTGAGAATCGAATCTAATTCCGTTTCAGTATGACTTTTCAAAAATTAATTAAAACTAATACATATACATTTATCGATATATTTCCCATCAATTGTATCAAAATATACTAAAAATTTAATGCAAATAATGTATTTATATAAATTCTAATTCTAAATAATGTACTAAACAAAAAATGGAAGATAACTTGATGACTTCTGTAGTTTAGTTCAAAATATCAAACCATTAAGTTCAAATTTTAAAACAAAAACAAAGCAACATTAAAAAGTGATTAAATTTCCTTGTCTAAATCCATATTCATTCATTATCCCTTCCAAATTCAAGCCCTTCATCATCTTCATCTTCTAATATAACTACATCCTCTTGCTCTTATTCTTCAACGTTGATTTTTCGCTGGATTTGTTGAGTACGAGAATCGCTGGGCTTATGATCGATTCGAATCACAAAGATTAATGCTCAATTTCGATTCACCCATAAGATTCAAATCATTCGACATGAGAATCGAATCGAATCGAATTGTAGTATTGTTCGATTGAAATCGCAAATCAAAAGATTGTGATAGCTTGCAGGATTCAAAAGTTAATGCCAACATGCAATGGATGTTTGTTAATACTAGTTGATGGTTATGGATAATTGAGCAGAGAAATGGAATAATGAAGCGTGTGACTATTTCTCAGTTCTCGTCTCTTGTTGGAGTAATCTTATACACAAACTGGTTAGACATTTTTTATTTTTTTCCAATATTTATGTGATGATTTAAAATTATTTGGATTTTATAATGTAATATCCATTGTGGAGTTGTAGTCATTTTACACATTGCTATGGTTTTGTCTGTAAATGGAAATATGATGTTTATCATGTGTGAGACTCATTCTTAGATGCACCTTTTTTGATAAATCATTAAATCCATTCAGCTTCTGAGCACCCTTTCAAGGGAATATTGACTAACCTTCCCAAACCTGGGGGTGGAGAGTTCGGAAAATTCTATAACCTGCCTGCCTTGAATGATCCACGAATCGGTATGTATATCCTCCTCGTTTGAGCATTCTGAGTATCACATTTTTTTCCAATATGGGATAAAGCCTTTAATCCATTTTGATTACTACCTATTTCCATTGCTCTTTTTTTTTTTTTTTTTTTTTTTTTTTCGTTGAGCATTCTGAGTATCAACATTTGATTTCCAAATATGGGTAAGCCTTTAATCCATTGGTATTTCTAACTCATATTATTTCTCATTATGCTCTTTTTTTTTTTTTTTTTTTTTTTTTATCGGATGTAGTGGTAAGATAAGGAATTATCATTGTATGTCTGCAGATAGAAATTGTGATCCTTCATATATTATTCCACCATATGGAATCAACTCTTATGGGTGGATACGCATGTCCCTCTTTTTTTTTTTTTTTTTTTTTTTTATCGGAGAGGAGAAAATAGAAAAAGAATCACATTTTTGTATGTGCAGATAGATTGCCATATTCCATAAGGATACTTTTGGAATCTGCAATCCGCAATTGTGATAACTTCCAAGTTACGAAGGAAGATGTGGATAAAATTATTGATTGGGAAAATACATCACCAAAGCAAGTTGAAATTCCCTTCAAGCCTGCTCGTGTTCTCTTACAGGTTTATAGCATTGATTAGTTGGGTTAGATTAAAAAAAAGAATAATTGTTGTTGATTCTGCATTTAAAACTTTTTTTCTTGATTTTCCTTTTTAGGATTTTACTGGAGTACCAGCAGTTGTTGACCTTGCTTGTATGCGGGATGCAATAAAGGATCTTGGCAGTGATCCTAAGAAGATCAACCCATTGGTTTGTAATTTATCACCTTTTGTTATTATGTGCAATTAGTTGGGAAAAAATATTTTTTTATGTTATTGAGTTTTAACAGTACAAAGTTCTTTAGTACCAATTCATAACAATCGTTCATGGTTGCCTCTTGTCGTAATGCTTATTTGATATTATTTGCAATTTTAAGTTAAAATTTTGTTTGATGTTTTTATTTTCATAATGTTTTGATATTTGCAATGCAGGTTCCAGTAGACCTTGTAGTTGATCATTCAGTTCAAGTAGATGTAGCAAGATCTGAAAATGCCGTGCAAGCAAATATGGAACATGAATTTCAGAGGAACAAGGAGAGATTTGCTTTTCTCAAATGGGGTGCATCTGCTTTCCAAAACATGCTCGTGGTTCCTCCAGGTTCTGGAATTGTTCACCAGGTATGGAGCTTTATGGTGGGGTATTCACTTGTAACTATTCTCTACTAGGTTTCTGTCTAGTTTTTTAAAAAGGCTAAAGGGCATATGGAAAATTTCCAGCTTCATAACAAGGGTTATCATGTGTGCTTGCATATTTTTCCATATTTACTCATTCTTTGATTTGGATATGCCACCATATTTTGTAGGTTGGTCTTGTATGCTTTTAATCCTCGTTGAAATACAAATTAAATTCAAATGCTTTTCTTTTTCTGTGATCTTCAATTCGTCATACTGCCTTTTGCTTTTGTGCTATCCACTAATGGGTCTTCCATTAATGTCTCTCTCAATGAATTTGTAAGGTTAACCTGGAGTATCTTGGACGGGTTGTCTTTAACACTGATGGCATCCTCTACCCTGATAGTGTGGTTGGTACCGATTCACATACTACTATGATTGATGGGCTGGGAGTTGCTGGGTGGGGTGTTGGAGGGATTGAAGCAGAAGCAGCGATGCTTGGTCAGGTAAAGTCTTCTTGCATACATGTGTCTCTTTTTCCATTGGACTGTGAGTACCTGCATACTTTCTTTTCTAGCTTGAATCTGAAATTAGAACTGTCTTTCAAGATATCACATGCTATTTTTTTTCATCACTTTTATTCATCTCCATGTCCTCCAAAAAAAAAAAAAAAAAAAAAAAATTGTGCATTTTTTTCATCACTTTTATTCATCTCCATGTCCCTCTGCAAAAAGAAAAACAAAAAAAATAAAATATTGTGGCCAGCAGATTAGATGCTTGAAATTCTTGAAAATCTGCCTGAACCACGGTGCATTGTAATCTAAAAAAAAAAAAAAAAAAAAAAAAAATTGTGCCAGCAGTTAATGCTGAAATTTCTGATCCTGAACCCTGCATTGTATCTCATCTTCACATTATAATTATGGAGGAAGTTGTGGTATGCAGTTTTCATCCAGTGTGGACTTGTACATGTATATTCTTCTGTTTTTTCTCCTTTAAAATTTTGCTCGGGTATTAAAATTTTAATCCTTTAGCTTTTCTCTTTCTAATGCAAAGAAATCAACTTATGTTCATTTAAGAATGATCACTTTTATTCTGGAAGCATTTTTGTTGTGTTGAAAGTCCAATTTAAGTACTGAGATTCGTACTGTTGGAGTGGAGAGAATATTCAACTTCTACCATTGTTTTTGTTGCACATGCATGGGCATTTGCTGTAAGCATGCGTGTCCTTGAAGCATTTGAGTTTGTCTCTGCTTCTAATGCTTTGCTAAATTGCTCAGCCTATGAGCATGGTGTTGCCAGGTGTTGTTGGATTCAAATTGTCTGGAAAATTGCGTGATGGTGTCACAGCCACTGACTTGGTTCTGACAGTGACTCAGATGTTGAGGAAGCATGGTGTTGTTGGGAAGTTTGTTGAGTTTTATGGTAAGCCTAATAAATATTAAACAATGTGACTTAAATTTTGAATCACTTGAAATTTAAGTCTATTCTGTGTTGGCTCAAATGAATTGAATATGCATATAGGTGATGGTGTGGGTGAATTATCATTGGCTGATAGGGCGACCATTGCAAATATGTCCCCTGAATATGGAGCGACCATGGGTTTCTTCCCTGTAGATCATGCTACCTTGCAGTATCTTAAATTAACAGGAAGAAGTGATGAGACTGTGAGACTATTGTCTTTTTGTTTATTCTTTTTGGTTTACTTTGGCGGGTGCTAAAATTTGTTGATTGTGGTGACTAAAATTTTATGCATTTTAGGTGGCAATGGTGGAAGCATATTTGCGTGCAAACAAAATGTTCGTTGACTACAATGAGGTAATATATTCCCACTGCATTTTATTTCCAAAGAAATCAGTTTTAAGGTAGACAACAATGTAACTGTCTTTTGGAAACAGCCGCAAGAAGAGAGAGCTTACACATCTTATCTGCAATTGGACCTAGCAGATGTTGAGCCCTGTGTTTCAGGACCAAAGAGGTATGCTGTACACTTTATTATCTCTGTATATCTAGTTATGATGTATCATTTTGATTTTTTGGCATGAAAAGTAATCATTCATTTATGCTAATAACAGACCTCATGATCGAGTTCCTTTGAAGGAAATGAAAACCGACTGGCATTCATGTCTTGATAGCCGAGTTGGATTCAAGGTGAGATGTGGGCCACCCAAATACTACAGCTTGATGACATTTTTGTTACTTGTATCTTCAAATGTTGTCTATTCTTTGCTTAATTATTTTCTTTGATTACATAAGTCCAAAATACCACTGTGGATATTTTTCATGTATGAACTTGCTATTTTTCATTCATATTCACATATAGGTCTATTCCTAGATGTGGCATGTCATTAATTGGCAATTTAATTGAGTTACCAGAGTACAGTTATCTAGATTTTATATTGGTTATGATCACCTCTTCCAAGTAATGTTTTTGACTGACTTGATTTTTATGCTGTACTTAGTCATTCCATGTTTTCCTGTAGGGCTTTGGTGTACCCAAGGAAGAACAAGATAAAGTGGCAAAATTCTCATTCCATGGACAACCTGCTGAACTTAAGCATGGCAGCATTGTCATTGCAGCTATTACAAGTTGTACAAACACATCAAACCCTAGTGTTATGCTTGGGGCTGGACTTGTTGCAAAAAAAGCTTGTGAACTTGGCTTGGAGGTTAGCTTTAGCTTACAGATATTATTTTCTGTCCAATATTGTAGGGTTTTGAAGATAAATATCTTGCTTGTTAAAAAGCTTCTAATTGGCAAGTACTCCCTCCGTTCCAAAAAGATAGTTTATCTTTCCTTATTGGTTTGTCCCAAAATATAGTTCACTTTCTTTTTTTTGCATTATAGTTAATCCTTAAATTGTCTATTATACCCTTATTAAATTTCCAAAAAAGGATATAGTTTATCTTTCCTTTATATGGTTATTTGTCCTCTCAAATATGTTTTCACTTTCTTTTTGCAGTTATAGTTTATCCTTAATTGTTCTATTTATAATTTCCCTATTAGATTTTATCTTATTTTCATAAGCCCTCATGCAATTTCTTACTTGTTTATTCAATATAATTAATTGCGTGCTTCAGTAGTTATTTGTAAGATAGAGCATAATAGGAAGTTATGAATGAAAATTGTCATGTTAGCCATAAAATTGCTTACTTTCTTTAATCGTGTGGACAATAGAAAGCTGAAACTATCTTTTTTGGGGACGTGAGGGATAATTTATAATTGACTCCTGCTTTGTCTCATACTTTTTCAGTGGCATTTTTGTAGCATGAGTTTTTGTGTTTTCTAGCGCTCTAATGTGTATTTTGTCTAAACGTAGCGATTGAATGGATTCAATGCAAGGATAAGCCAATGGAATTGAAAACGATGTTTGCTTCAAGGTATTCGCTGGATTTGTTACAAAGATATTGGAGCGAGGTGATGATCACTAAAGCTTGGCAACCTGTGTAATGTGTGTATTACTGGTTTAGAGTGTGTTCCAAGGAAGTATGGGTACACGTAGTTGATTATGGATTGGTCATTTGCAGGGGCCTACAGAAATCTTGAATTAGCAGGGCTTTCAACCAAATGGTGAGGTTATGGTTGCCAACGACTGTATGTCGGGAATGTCTGGATGAACTTGATTCGGAAGTTTTCATGAAAGTTATATGAATAAAATTGTCATTTAGCCATAATAATTGCTACTTTCTTAATCTGTGTGAAAATAGAAAGTGAACTATCTTTTTGGGACGGAGGGAGTAATATTTTTGACCTGCTTGTCTCACTCTTTTTCAGTGCAATTTTGTAGCATGATTTTTTGTTTTTTAGCTCTAAGTCAAACGTACGATTGAATGGTTCACCAGGTTAAGCCATGGATTAAAACGAGTCTTGCTCCAGGATCTGGAGTTGTTACAAAATATTTGGAGCAGAGGTATATCACAGCTTCACCTTGTATGTTTACTGTTTAGTTGTTTCCATGAAAGTATGGTACATGATTATGATTGTCATTTTTGCAGTGGCCTACAGAAATACTTGAATCAGCAGGGCTTTCACATTGTTGGTTATGGTTGCACAACTTGTATTGGGAATTCTGGAGAACTTGATTCGGAAGTTGCATCTGCAATTTCAGATAATGGTATGGCCATCATTTATTATGTTTATAATGTTCTTGTAGTGAATTATCAAGTCCTTGTTCTACTTTTCTAATAATGTTTCTGCCTTTTAGACGTACTTTTAAATTTATTGCAGTACACTAAACTTCTTCATTCCCTTCACTTTCATCGTGGCCTTTGCATTTCAATATCATAGTTGGTTTTCTGTTCTTACAAACTTCGAGTCATCTTCTTTCAGATGTGCCCTTATTCACGTCCTTTGGATTCTGAATATTGAAAGATCTCACACTTTTAATTTCATCCAATTAGTGGCACTTACAATATATGTTGTTGGTCTATAGTTCAGCTCTTGATGGCTTGTCAATTATATTTACTCTTAAGCATTCTTTTGTACTTTTCCTCTCTTCTACTGATGTACCTTTTGATTACTTTTGCAGACATTATTGCTGCAGCTGTGCTTTCTGGGAATCGGAACTTTGAAGGCCGTGTTCATCCACTGACAAGAGCTAACTACCTTGCGTCACCTCCCTTAGTTGTGGTCTATGCACTGGCTGGCACCGTATGCACTTCAACTTTATCATTATTATCTGGTCTCTCTTTTTTCAATGAAGTGCTCGTCTATTGGTCAATGTTTTGAGCACTTGTTCTATCACTTTCCCAACTGTTGTGCATGTTAAATCATGTTGTCACCTTTAGGACTGGGATAAATCATAGGAATTCAGTTTGATTCTAGATTCAGTTACTACTCACTAAAAGGGTATCACGAAAATCTATACAGACCGAAGGTGGCAACTTGGAATTTTCAAGCCTTTTTTTTCTGTAGAATGGTCCAGGAAAGAGTTAACTACGGTTTCTGAGGAGTTCCTTTATTCTTTTTCAATTTCAGGTTGACATTGACTTTGAGAAGGAGCCAATTGGAAAAGGAAAGGATGGAAAGAATGTGTACTTCAAAGATATTTGGCCCACTAATGAAGAAATAGCGGAGGTAAATTTGTTAATCTCAAACGGAATTTGTTAAAAACTACACTGTTTAATTAGTAGATTGTACCTAATACTCCAGTGCTGTTACAGGCAGTACAATCTAACGTGCTGCCAAGCATGTTCAAAAGCACCTATGAGGCTATAACAAAGGGCAACCCAATGTGGAATGAGCTCTCTGTTTCTGCTTCCACTCTTTACTCTTGGGATCCAAAATCTACATATATACATGAGCCACCATATTTCAAGAACATGTCCATGGAACCACCAGGCCCTCGTGGAGTTAAGGATGCTTACTGTTTGCTTAGCTTGGGTGACAGCATAACCACTGATCATATCTCTCCAGCAGGTTCTATCCACAAAGACAGCCCTGCTGCGAAATATCTCCTTGAGCGTGGGGTTCAACACAAGGACTTCAATTCTTATGGTAGTCGTCGGGGCAATGATGAAGTAATGGCTAGAGGCACATTTGCTAATATTCGCATTGTCAATAAGCTCCTAAATGGAGAAGTTGGCCCAAAGACTATCCACATTCCCACAGGAGAGAAGCTTTATGTGTTTGATGCAGCAATGGTGAGCCCTTGCTATTGAAATGTGATCTTGTTTTCACACGAGATGATAATATGCAGGCAAAAATCAAAATGCAGAAAACCATTGCTCCTTGTAATTGCATAATAAATGTGGTTTAAATTGCAGAGATACAAGGAAGCTGGGCAGGACACTATTGTCCTAGCCGGGGCAGAGTATGGAAGTGGCAGCTCTCGAGATTGGGCTGCCAAGGGTCCCATGCTACTGGTGAGTGAATTTATATTTAATATTCGGGGCATGACTTATTTTTAGCTCCATGGTAATAATAGTCATACTCTATGGTCTCTATCAGGGAGTGAAAGCGGTGATTGCCAAAAGCTTCGAGACGATTCACCGTAGTAATCTAGTTGGAATGGGGATTATTCCTCTATGTTTCAAGCCTGGTGAGGATGCAGACACGTTAGGATTGACTGGTAATGAGCGCTACACAATTGACCTTCCGGATAAAATCAGTGAGATAAGACCTGGACAAGATGTTACCGTCACAACTGACAATGGCAATTCTTTTACTTGCATAGCGCGTTTTGACACACAGGTATTCTCCTGATAAATTCATTTTAATGTCTATGGTGATGATTGCCAAAAACAACCGATTAGTAAATAATGAAACCTAAAGAAAACGAGAGTTTCAGAAATGAATTGATTGAAGAAAGACTACTTCAATTGCTAATTGTTCATTAGCTTTTACGAATGGCGAAAATTGGCTTATATAGCCAAGGACATGGTCGTTCGGGTCGGCAGGGTGGGCGAAATACATGGAGAAAATATCTCCTGCAGATGGTAACGTTGGATGTACCCAACTGTTAGGTGCAAAATTAGGGATTGATCCTCAGGCAACTTACAAGTAGGTCCTCAATAGGACATATATTCTATCAGCTAGTATTATGGTTCGGTCTGGTTACATGTTGCTATATATTGCGCCATGATTCAGACTCCTGATTTGCTGAAATTCAATCGTGCAGGTTGAGTTGGCATACTTTGATCACGGTGGTATTCTCCAATATGTCATCAGGAACTTGATCAAAGAGCAAGAAACTTGAAACAACAACTTCCACTGTACATCCTTCCTTTGCTTCTCCATACACTGATAAAGCTGTTGCCCCTCGATCTGTTTCGCGAGAGCACATTTGTAATTACATCTCAGGATTTCTTTAAGTTTATTCCACTTTAAATAGGCAGCACGAGATGCTCTTTTATGTAAAAATTATCATTTTAGCGTCCCTTGTTTGCACATCATGAATTCTAAGCGGTTTAATATATAATAAGCATGGTATATGAGCATTTGATGGCTTTATTCTCCGTCTGTGCGAGGTGTAAGCTCTATGGTGCCAGACTTGATTTTTACTTTTTTGGTGGCATTTCTGTTACAGCCGCTTGATGTGATCCATCTGCAGCCATCGTTTGGTAGAGGTTGTTCTCTCATCCCTCTAATAGTTAAGACCTTCCTTTTTAACTTTCAACACGAATGGTTATACCTCAACAGCGATTAATATTATAGTACAAATTACAAGATAGAATCTCCTCTGACAGCTTCTGTTACAACACTTTCGCATGCTACAAATAAATCTCATCACCTTTCATCATATTTTCAATGCTTTCCAATATGCCACTTGCTCAACCAAAACCGTAATTTTACAAAATCGTAAAATACAATGAACAAGAGCACAAAAGATGGCTTAAAATATACAAGCACAGGGGGGAAACGATTGGATATGCTAGATTCTAGTTCTTATTGTGTAGGGATCTCCTTGCCTTAGACGCCAAAGCTAATGCCTTGCCTTCTGTACTGGTCATCATCCATTCCCTCTCTGCACGGCGTTGATGTTGCCTAGCATTCTTAGCTCGTTTTGGTGCTAAGCGTGTGTCTCTTTCCACAAATGCAAGTCTAAATTTTTCAGCCATGGATAATTCACTGGGGCTCGAAGCAGAGGGAGCAACTGGCCTTGGTGTAAATCCACATACTGCCCAAGTTTTGGGATCAATATCCTTAACAACAGAATCATCGAGAGCAATATCTGCTAATGCTTCTATGGGAAGCTCGATCCCTCTAAATCCAAAGGGTGATGGCTTTGGATTTACTATTATTCGTGGGCACTCCGTGGCCAAGATCTCCATTGAATTATTATCAATCTTGGGCTGAAAAAGATAAATAAAAGGGTCAGTTTAAAGAGGAAAGAGATGGTGAGTGAACATAAATACATTGCACAAGGAATGCCAAATATGCCCATTTACATGGCATTCGGAAAAACAAGTGTTGAATAAAAGCAGAATAAATCATGATACAGTTTGGGGTTTAAACCACAGTTATACACGCAATGCTTGAATGGTGTTGGCTAGACAGGTAGGACTAAAGTGCCAAACCACTGCTTGTTTCTTCCACTTCTTAATATGTTTTCTTTACAAGTGGGAAAATAAGCAAAACTTCGGTACACAACTATGATGACGGAAGTTATGGCACAATCAGAAAGGTTTCGGAAAGAGAATGACTCCATACCCACACAAGCCACCGTAGGGATTCTGCACCATGACCAATTTCAGCAGTATCTAGTTCCTCCCATGAATCTCCCTCTATATCATTCAGCTTTGGTTTCAATATGCTCAAGCAGTTACGTGCAGTGTAGTCACTCCTTGGGCACCCTCTGCAACATTAACTTTTATTCAAGCCTGTTATTAAGTTTGTACCCTAGTCAAAATCTCATAAACTGTGGCTATAAGTACAGATGATTAAAGTAGAAGGCAAGAAATAATGCTGGATTACACAGGATATCCTATGATTTGTATAGTGAGAGAGAGCTTCAATTTCTTGTTAACATCAAAAAATCAAAGAGTCTGGTTCCAGTATCCCATGCAAAATGAACTCAGGAAGAAAATATTTGATGATATAATCTAAAAATTCTTACAGATCACTTTCCCTTTCTCTATCTCACAGGAATATCAACCTTTTTTTCTCCCTCTTTTGGGTGAGGTGACTTTCATAATATACATTCTGTATGGAATTTAGCAATTTAAAGTTGCATAGAATAACATTTAATGGCTAACTATAAGTTCCTCGCTTGGTTGGCTTCCCATTTCCAGCTTTAGGAGGGACAAGAAATTCCTTTTTATGGTTAAGATATTCTGCATGATGGCAAACTTTCAGAATTTCAAACAAAAGAGGCTATTGAAGAGACATATGAAGATAAAACATGAATAACAAAACACCAGAGAACAGACCATATGCAAAACTTTTAAGGCATGTTAATAGAGAATCTCATCTTTCAATATATAAATGCTTGATGTGTTCTAAAAAAAAAAGGGTACCCGCATCTCAATGTCTGCAATGACTTGCAGTACCGAATGAGTTCAGAAACACCATCAGCAGTAATTTTATTGCATCGGCTGCACAGAAATGGTGTCAAAATAATTGTTGTTTCTAAAAAGTAAATGAAAAATTGACTTGTCAGCATACACTTGCAATTAGCAAACAACTGCTCAAGAGAATGATGTAAATATCAATTGTCTCAAACAAACAAATAAACTTATGTATAAATTAATCTAATTATATGAAGGTCCAACAACATTAGAGAGAACCAAAACAAAAATAGTTAAGGAAAAAAAAAAAAATCTAAGAACCAAGCATCATTGTAGAAGCCACCAATTTATAATAAGAATATGACTATAATTGCATGGAATTTTACTAGGCATATTCACTATGCATTGATTGTCATCCTTTTTTAAACATGTTACAATGTATATGATGCTTGTATTATATCAGCAGATAACATGCTCCCTTACTTGATGCTGGAACTTGCATCATGCCGCATGGTTATCAATGTCAACATAATATGAGACATGAACCCCCAAGTTATTTGCATAGTTTATCCACAAGGAAAATAATTGTATGGATTAGTCCTTCCACTGTTTTCCAGAAGCTTCTAACTCCCTCCTACAGATTGGGTACTATTGCAAATATGAACTAGAAGAGACATGTAGCTAGCTTGTCCATTGGCAAAGAAGTGTCGTTCACTCATTACATACTATCATAGTATCGTGACCAGTAAACTTAAGAAATTTACGAACCTTATATCCACAGCTCGAAGAAATTTGCAGAGTTCGGCTACTTTCATTAAACCAGAATCAGTGACATCAGAGCCAGAAAGGTCAAGAATTTCCCAGGAACTATCAGCTAACGAAATGATGACATCATCATTTAGTAATTTCCTTCTCCTGGAAATTGCTGCGATTGCCATCTGCCATGAAACACGGTATGTCAGGGAAATAAGTTGAAGCTTGAAGAATGCTAAAATAAATAATAGTTATATGAAAATGCTGTATAAACAAACAATTTATATGCACTTAAACGTAAACAAATTCCCAAGAATACAAACAGTTCACAAAGCAGAACATATTTAGGGGGCAAGATACTCATCTTTCTAATACTATGCAGTTCAATGGTCCTTAATATTCTCTGGATAAAATTTCAAAATTTATGTAAATATCTGAGGCTGTGAAACCTTTCACAAGGCTAGTTCTTAAGATCATCATTTGCACTAGTGTTAGTATGAGTTCAACATGAAGCACATTTATACATGTTAATGATAGGAATAAGGAAAAAAAAAAAAAAAAAGAGGGCCTTGGAAAATGGGCACATGTGAGATAGAGAAATTAAAAGAAGTGATTTTTCTAATCAGAGTCATTGGAATCGACAATCTGACAGATACCAATTAATTTTTATAACTACAAGACTCCTCAGACACACTGGATCACAAAGAGATGGCAGTATCCTTGCATACTATACAAACAGTATCCTTGCATACTATACAAACAGCATCCTTGCATATATGAGCATGAGCATACATTCTCATCAAAGCCAATAGCTTCTCCATTTAACCTGTGATAAAGAAAAATATTAATTCAATCCAATTACAATCCTCTCTTAAGCTCTCAGCCCCAACATCTGAAAGTCCCAGCCCTCTAGTAAACCAGCCAGCATATTGTCTCACAAGGTCTTCCAGCATTTCAGCAAACCATTAATGAATCAATAGCGCCATAAACCCAACAATTTTATTATTATTATTATTATTATTATTATTATTATTATTATTATTATCATTCAAAAAAGAAACTTCTAAAAAAACAATTAGTGAGAAAGGGACAAGAAAAAGGAAATTCATCGAGCACATCATTCCACCATGTCAAATATACGAAAAACAACAGTTGCACTAAAAAAAACCAATAAGCAGGAAGTAATAAACAAAGCAAAATTAACACCTTAATTTGTGCCGGAAAGCAAATGACAATCTCACTCAAGTCTGCAATTATATCCTCCAAATGCTTTCCAACAACTCCAAGGCACAAACTCACTAAACTTGGAGGTTCTGTCCTCTTCCGGATCAATCCTATCATCGAAAAACTCAACAAGCTAATCTCTATCATCCATAAAAATCATAGCTTCGAATTTTTTTTTTTAAAACATGAATCCAGTCAACTTAAAATCCCCTATTTGGCTGAAATACAAATCAATCGCAAACGAAAAAAACATAAAAAAATATGAAGAGATAATTACTGGAGGATTGGAACGTAGGGCCAAAATAGGAAGATTTACGGTTAAAATTGGGATTCAAATCGACTTTCTTCAATAAGGAAGCGATGTTCTCTGCAGCTTTGCCTTCTTCCATCAATACCCAAAATTCAGAAATAAAAAAATAACATCAAACGTAGAGAGAGATATACAGAGAGGAGACGGCTATAAGAAGAAAAACAACGAGGAGAGGAAGAAGAAGAAGAAGCCGACATGAAAAAAAAAAAAATCCTAAAATTTCTTCTTTATATTTGAAGACTAAACGACTGTTATCCGTCAAGCTGACGAATAGTCGTTCGATAACCCGGTGATCTTGAAAACGATCCATGAGTCGTTCAACCCCGTGTTTCGTTTAAAATCCAAATTATAAATTTAGAATTTAGAATAAAAAAATTTAAAATGCGGGCTCCACAGCTTCGCTTTGCTCAGTTTGATCAAAACGACGTCAATCTGTCCGTTTTGTATCAAAACGGGGTACCTTGGTAACTTGAGTTTTGCTTCTCTCCATCTCCAAATAGGCCGGCAAATCAAAGTATGTTTTAGTTTTCGAATTTCACTTTCTCCGGCGAAGCACGATAGCTTCCATAGATAAGCAGCAACGAACCAAAGAAAGCGACATCGTCTTGGATCAATGGTGAAGGGAGTGCAAGGAGGAGGCCAAAACCTACCGGCCGATGTGATTCAGGTGACCGATCAGCTGGAACGCCACTGCTTAGCCCCCGATGGATCTCTCATTTCCAAATCTGCCTACTGTGACCTTCAAATTGTACTTTCTACCTCCTCATTTCCTTTGCATCTGATAGTTTTCTCTATTCTCTGTTTGGTTGCGAAGAACTTTAGTGACTTTTGATTTGGTACTGTTGTAGGCGAGAGAGGAGATGTCGAGAGAGAGACTTCGCTACTTAGAAGCAATGGTAATGATTTGTTTGCTACTTGGGGTTTGAATTTGAAGGTTAATTGACGTTTTTGATAAGTTGATTGGCGTTCTTGCTATGTGGTTTTTCTATACAAGTAATGGTTTCTTTTTGGAGGAACAAAATTCTAAGCTTTTGTAGTGGAATGCGAATGTAGGCAATTTACTGCGAAGCAATTGCTATGGTGGAAGAGTATCAGCAAGCTGTTTCAGTGGCTAATCTTGGCAGCATTCGGGATATTCAAGGGTTATACCCACAACTTAGCTTGAAGAACTCTCCTCAGGTTTTGTTTTCTAAGATTACTATGAACAATAATTTATAACTGTAAGAAAAGATGGAAGAGAAAGAAAAATTAGAGCAATTCATTGACTTTGTTTTATTGTTGGTCTAGAATGCAATATAGTTTGTTTGGTTGCACTCTTCTAGAATAGTAGCACTTATCGTAGTTAAATTGCCATGGAGAAGGTACTATCAGAAAGGCTTCTTATTGTTATAGTTTTGAACAATTGGTTATTCAGGCACTGTATATGGCTCTAGTATGGGATGATATTTCAAATTTTTAGCAGTATTTGGCGTTAATTTTATTTATTATTGCATGAACTTGGTGGAGGAACCTTATTCTAAATTCTTAAATTTAGGTCTATGAGACTCTAGAGCATCGTTTGGTTGTTGCTGAAGCAGCACAGAAATTAAGGCTCCCTCTTATATCAAAAGATGGTGAAATCCATGAGGAGGAAATTGAAAAATGGAGTATAATGTCACGAAGTTCCCTTGATAGTACGAGTACGAGTGTGACAATCAGCCCGAGCTCTAATTCAATGAGCTATGCAAATAGTTCCACAAACAGCACCACGGGAGCAACAAATAATACCGTTTCTCTTGGTGCTTCTGATTCAGCAGAACCTGGAGTCGGTGGTGTACCCAATTGTTTTCTTGGTATAGCACCTACCTATTTATGGCAAACTCAGCTCCAACAAATGCCACTAATGTTGGTATGTTTCTGTTACTCTGGCTCTCACAAACTGCATATACGTTCACTTTAGATATTTCTAGCACTGGTATTAATATCAATTAATATTTTGTCTGCCATTGTAGGACATGGCAGAATACCAGATGTCTCTTTGCCATGAGATTGAGGCTCGTCTGAAGGATAAATGCAACAAGTTGGCCGATGCTTTTGTTGATGAAATTGGTAGGACACTGTATTACTGGACTCCTCCATCTCCCACTTCCCCTCTCACTCTCTCTCTCTTATAGAGCTTTTTTTGTAGTTGGGTAGTTGTGCATCTATGATACTCTTATGTATTTTTGTAAAGAATAAGCATTTTCAAACTTTGAAATTTAAGTTTTTTTTTTCTCAAACTGTGAAATATATTAATATTTAATAAATTTAGACGATGCATAAAATTGGGATCCCATTTATTTGGAAGATGGAGGGAGGCTTACATAATACTGAAGCATAAGTTTCAAAGTGGACTGAAACTCTAGTTTGATGAGCAAGCATTTTATATAAAATGGTTGGTGCATATAATAGTAAATGAGGTTAATTTGCCTATATTATGCTGCTGCAGACTCTTCATCTACTAGCCAAAATTCAATTGCTCGGCTTCCAGAGAGGTTTGGACCTTCCATTGTTGTTGTTATCCTCTTGAAAAATGCTTTTCTTCATCCTGGAATGCATATGAAAAGAAGGTCAAAAAAAGGAATGCCTCCACAAGATGTTTAATTCTACTTGTCTGTTGATTAATCAGGGTTAAGTTAATAATTGAAGAAATTGAAAGGGAAGAAGCTGCTCTGCGAGAGGATCTCTATTCTGCAGACAGGAAATTTGCAGAATACTACAATGTATGAGTAAAGAGGTTTTTTTTTGTTTCTGCTTAACTTTTTTTACCTCTTTTTTAGCATCTGAACTATAAAATGGCCTGAAATGTTGTCTTTGGACTTCTTGGGTCTAATATTAATTAGCATGCTATCTATTTCAATAACTTCTATAATGATTTCTTCTGGAAAAGGTCTTAGAGCAGATACTGGCAGTGCTTATTAAGCTTGTTAGAGATTTGAAATTGCAGCATCAACATAAATATGTAAGTCTTCTGCTTTGCAAACATCAACACCAGTTATTATTGCTTTTTTAAAAGTTAAAATTCTGATCACACTGATTAGTGCCGTTTAACTTGCTTGCTTAACAAAGTATTTTCCTCTTCCCACATGGATGGACACTTAAGCCTGTTGCCCAAATGTTTTATAGGATGAACTACAAAAGACATGGTTGTGTAAAAGATGCGAGACCATGAGTGCAAAATTAAGGTTTGTTGTACTGCTCTCTGTGAAGATTGTTTCAATCTTATAGAAATACATGTATAATGTTATTAAGTGGTAAAAATCAACATTTATTTCTTGTTACATCTTTTAACACATATTTTCAATTTCCATAATGAGAAGCCATTGCATTTTCTTTTTTAACTTCTCTGATTATTTTATCAGGGTTCTAGAGCATGTTCTCCTGCTTGAAACTTATACCAAGGATTCCATACCAGCACTCCATAAAATTAGGTGCTCTATGGCTCAACTTCTGAACTGTTGTTTGGTTTGTATGCTGAGTTTGAGTTGGTAACAAGGCTTTTTCTTATTTTTTATTTTTTGTTTCAGGAAGTATCTTGTGGAGGCTACAGAAGAAGCTTCTATGGCATACAATAAAGCGGTTTGTTTCCTCACCTGTGTTCAGTGTTTACAGTAAAGTAGCTAGGATTTTCTTCATCGTTGCTTGCGTGTTGGTTTCTGTGAATTTAGATAATTGGCTTAAGAAAATATTTTAATTAATTTTCAAATTCCTCTTTTCTGCATATATTTGTTGGTCAACATGATTGTTATCTTGATTTGAATTTGACATATAATTGGGATCTGCATTATCTTGAAACTGTATATTTCCTAGTTTTGTTTCTCACTTCTGCTCCTGGTTTTCATGATCAATCTGTGTTTCAACTCTCTTGCTAGGCTACACGCCTTCGAGAATATCAAGGTGTGGATCCTCATTTTGATACAATTGCAAGACAGTACCATGACATTGTAAAGGTGAACATCATTTTGCATACTTTCTTTGTCCATTAAATTCCTTTATCAGGTGTAAGCCTCTTTACCAACACTTTCTTACAGAAACTGGAAAACATGCAATGGACTATTCATCAAGTTGAAATGGACCTGAAACGATTACCAGATCACTCAAGCACATAATGAATATCCTTGGGTAAAATTCATTTTGTTGTATTAATCATCCAATGATTTGTCCCCAGCTCTTTTTTCATTTTTTATAAGTTTTTTCTCAGTTCACCTTGTTACCAGCATGTTGCTTATCATGTATAGTGAATGGCAATGAAAAGATATCATCTTGAAGGTTTGTACTCTCAAAAGAGATTCTTTGATTTCTCTTCCCCTCTAGCTTCTTTGTCCATGGTTGGTACCTATTAATTTGCTTCTGTATTGCTGGTTGGGGCTGTTTATGAATTTTGGAAGAATGTCCATTGACCACTGCGATGGTATGGTTACTTTGACTTGTGCCTTTCCTATTTCCAGAATCAGACGCGGATGGCTGTAGGGCACTTGTTGTGGACTGGCTCAATTTTGGGTCAGGTTCTCTGTATGAGAATTGGATCCTAAAATCACACTCCAAAAAGATATCAGATTTTTTATTTTATTTTATCATTATATCAACAAATTAATGAAGTTATTATAAAATAAAATTTCTAATTTCGTTTTTCAATGATAGATAATGGATTATCAAACTACGATATAAATTTCATATTTTTTTTTACTAATTTCATAAAATTTTTCATATATTTAATTAATTTGCGTTATGAATTTTATAAATCTAACAGGCAATTATTAAAAATGTATCAGCACCATTGGATATTGTTGAGGTCTTAATTGGAAAAAAAATGCCAAATGGATGGACTCAATTTGATTTCTATTTTTCTTTTCTGGATTCTTCTCTATCCCGAATTTCAACTTATGTGGGTTCCACTTCATCACCTATCCGGATCCAGGCTGGGTGCGTCCATTGTACGCGTGAACCGCCTAAAGTTTTAAGATAAAATAAAATAGTCATTCACGTCAGCATAATCCTACCGTCCAATATTCTCATTCTTTAATCACTAACTTACACGTTTAATTTAAAACCGACTCTAATTCCTACTCCGACCTCACGTTGGATTTCCAAGCAGGAGCGAAACCAGAAATACCGACCCGACCTTTCCTAATATAAATACTCCTCCACCCTCTTCTTTCTTCTCAAACTGTGATTCTAAACGCAACTGTTCTTGTCTGATCTCGTCTTTCGTCTTTGATTCTTCGTCTCTTAAGGTAATTGTTCTGATCATTGAATCGTTATCGGAGTCTAATTACTGTTTGATTTGGTTTTGATGCAAAATTCATGTGTTTGTTCTAATCAAGTTTAAAATTAGGTTTCGGTAATTGGAATTAGGTTTGTTATAAATAGCGATGGTATTAATAAAATTCTTTGTTAGTTTCTTTGATCTTGAGGAGTTAATCGTGCTGTTTAATCAATTTTTGGTTGCAAAGCGGATGGTTTCTCTCTAATCGGAGCCTGAAAGTCTTTTTTTTATTATTATTATTATTTAATTGCTCCTTTTCAAGGTTTAAATTGTTTCTTGAGGAGGGATTTACTTTATATGATTTACTTGCTATGATATAGCAGTAATTTGCGTTAGGTTTTGTGATAATCAGTTTGTGGATATTGGAAATTTGTGTAAGAGATTTGATGAATAACTTTTGAATCTTGAATCATTTATGTTTTGATGATATTGGGAATTAATTATGTTTGTTTTTCTTTGGTGCAGTTCTTCTCTTGTTTTCAAGTTCTCGTTAATCAAAGTACATGGTTGATCTAGAAATTCAGGTTCCTGCTGCTTTTGATCCATTCTCTGAGGCCAAGGATTCAGGTGCGCCTGGGGCGAAAGAGTATGTGCATATTCGCATTCAACAAAGGAATGGAAGGAAGAGCCTGACTACAGTTCAAGGGCTGCCTAAAGAGTTCAGCTACGAAAAGATCGTCAAGGCTCTCAAGAAGGAATTTTGTTGTAATGGGAATGTTGTACAGGACAAAGAACTTGGCAAGGTAATCCAGCTTCAAGGCGATCAGCGAAAGAACGTTCAGAGTTTCCTTGTCAATGCTCAGCTTGTGAGGAAGGATCAGATCAAGATTCATGGTTTTTAGAAGCCTTTGCTGGTGGCTTTAGCTAATCACCATTGATTTTTACTTGTGTGGTTTTACGGTCGAGGGACCTCTTATGTGCTATTAGCAGTTTGTTACTTCTTAAGCTTGTTTGAGTGTGTTTTATTTTTACCCTTTGAACCTTTTTCTCTTTCTCGATGAGAAGTTGTACTGCAGAAGTTTCTGTTATGATGGTAATGGATGTTATTTGTTTAAATGAGCTTGGCTTCTTACCTTCCCTCCTTGATGCAGGAGCAATCCTACTCCCTAGTCCTAACTGGATTCCGAGCGTAACTAGGATTTTATTTAATTTACTGTTTTATCTTAGATTTGCATTAGTGTTGCATTAGTGTAGTTAGGATTTATCACTATAAATAGACAGCACTAGTATTGTAAATCACCTTTATTTTCTTCATAATTTTGATTCAAAGGTTAGTAATCTGATTACCGATTACTGTTTCACCTACAATTATCCTATTCTAGCCTACTTGTTGAAAACTGACAGCCCTATATGTGGTATCAGAGCCCAAAAAGATCCTAAATTGCTGCAGGATTTTTGTTCCTGTTCTGTTCTAAACCATGTTTGGTAGGGAGAGAGATCGAAGTAGAGGTAATCAGTCCCAATGAATAGAGATGGCTGAGATATTGCGTATGATTGAGGATTTGACTCGGTGTAGAAGCCTTGCAGCGTTAGGAACCTGTGAAAGCCCTGGAGATTTCGGAAGGCAACCACAAATAATTCAAGGTTCAAGAGGATCTTGAGATTGATGAAGTCAAGGACGTAAACCCTTTTCACCGTAGATTGAGCGGCACGAAGTGGATTGGAAGAGTTGTCACTATAAGCCCTTGATTTGAATGGTGAAGGGATGAAGTAGCCCTTGATTGATGGTGAAGGATGAGAGACCTGGAAGTAGCTGACTTCTTTCATGGAGAGTTACATGTAACATATTTAAATTGGGGAATATTAGATGTTGCGTGGCACTAAGGAGAGTGGAACAGTGAAGAAAGTTTCATATTTTGACAATCAAACATGAAGGCAGCAACAAGGACCTTATGGAACCAATTATGATGAGTACGATGATGAAGAAGAGCAAGAAATTGATTTAGTTTCTGCCCAAGGAGAAAATACTGCCATGCAGCAGGTTCTTATTACCCCTAACATAGAAGAACAAAAAGACTGGAATATTGAACGTGAGAAAATAAAGGAAGATTGTTGTTATTCACAAAAGTATTTGCTCGTGGATGTTTGTTTGAAGCAAGTAGTCCATGAAGTTGAAATACATCTTCATGCAAGAAGGCTAGTGCAAATACGAAAAATTCTTTTTGTTGAACCAACTTTGCTTGCTCAGAAAAATGATGGATTATTTGAATGGCATGTGATGTTGGTTGCCCTTGCAAAAGCCTTAAGCACATGATATTTTAAGGAGAAGTTTACACGAATTGATCCTATTCTCATGGCTGAAGTCTCTAAACTTTTCTCATCGAAGCTGAGTTCTTTCCAACCCCGAGGAGAATGATGTAGGAGCATCCAAGATTAATTAAGAAGTTCTCTTTTAGTTTCCTTCCTTATTTAAAAATTGTTAATTAATCAGAAAATAATTTAAGTTTTCCTTCTTTATTTAGTTAGTAACATGGTAATCTTCTTTTAGGCTTTTTCCCTCATGGCATTAGCCGAATATTTTCGATATAGAATTTGGATTATTGTCTAACAATATAAAATATGACACGCAATTAGGGTTTTTAAGGAATTGTTTTTTTTTATCTATGAAGTGTGCGGATTTAATATTATAAGGTTTTTCTCTCTAAAAACCGAGCTCATCGTGTATTGTGTTATACATAATCCACAAATCATTCCGATTCGTGTGCCAAATTGATTGCGAGAGTTATTATCCCCTACTCGATCTTACCCCTTGATCCCGTAGAGTTTCTGTTTTCCGCGTGAGGAATGGTTTCTCGGCATTTTCTCGCGAAGACGAATTGTTTGAAATTTCTTAGAGAGAGGCTACTCTCTGTGTGCTCCGTCTATTTAACGTCTATTCGTGACTCTCGTGCTCTCTTGTCTGATTTGTACCAGAGCCTTTAGAAGAGTATCTACAATCTACGAACTCTAACGGAAGAATGTTTACAGTGAGTTTCTTCATGATAGCTTAACAATTAGGATTTGTCCTAACTAATATAAATATGACAACAGCAATTAGTTTTAAGAATTGTTTTTTTTTAATCTATGAATTCAGAATTTTAATTATAAGGGTTTTTTTTTAAAACCGATATGTTATTTTGTTTCAACCAAAATCATCCTATTCTAGCCCAAATTGTTGAGAGTTAATTTCCCTATATTCTTACCCTGCGTGGTTGTGGTTTTTCGTGAGTTTCTGCATTCCAAGACGAATTGTTGAAAGTTTCTTCGAGCTATTCGACATTGGCAGCATTATTTAGCCTATCGTGAGTTTGTGGTTTTTTCTGATTATCATGCCTTGAGGTATCTAAAATCTAAGAATAAATTTAACAATCGACATGTTAAGTGGAGTTTCTTTGATGAATTTAATTTCTCATTAAAGTATAAATCTGGTCAATCTAATATTGTGGTTGATGCATTGAGCAAAAAATTTCTAATTTGGTCAATTTTGAGCACTCAAATTACTAGTTTTGAAGAATTGAAAAATCAATATGATTCAGATTCATGCTTTAGCAAGATAAACGCTGATTTGCTGCATTCTTCAGAAGCTAAAAGTCTTGCCATATTGATTGTAAGATGGTTATTTATTCAAAGGAAATAAGTTATTTTATTCCTAAAGGATCTTTAAGGTTTACTCGCTGGAGCCGAGTCTTTTTTAAACCCGAGGAGAATGATGCAGAAGCAATCCTAGTCCTAATTGGATTCCAAGCACAATTAGGATTTTATTTAATTTACTGTTTTATTTCAGATTTGCATTAATTTTTCGTTTTCTTTATTTGATTAGGATTTACTATTTTATCATTGAATATTTTATCATTGAATAGGAGTAGAGTTTTAATTCTTTGGATTCCTATTCTAGTCAGGTTTTGTCACTATAAATAGACAGCACTAGTAGTATGATAAATCATTTTATTTTCCTCATAATTTTAGTTCAAAGGTTATTAACCTAATCAGGATTCCTACATCTTCCCCTGCGTCACTCCTCCCCTTCTTGTTTGATTGATTTGGGGATGATCTTGAATATAGTTGACAAGAATGCTTGAGTTTGAGACTTCAAGAGTATGGGGGAAAATTTTGTTGTATTGCTTGGCTCAGAATCTGGGAAAATTATTTTTTCGTTATTGGAAAATTAATTTATTTATTGTTCGTAGTTCAGCGAGGAAAATGGTTTTCCTGGAAATCGAATTGGCTGCTTTGGCGCAAATACATTCCTCCCATTTGCCTCGCTTTTTGATCCTAACATGGAGTGAAGAAATATAGAAGCCTATCTTGTTCTAGACTTCTCGCTGCTCATGATATAAAAGGTCTTTTCAGAAACTGGCACAATGTCAAACTACGATAACTTTGAGTCCTATAACTATCAATTTATGTCGACTTCCATTATCATTTATCGAAAATTACCTGTCTAATTAGGACGCTGCCAAAAAATGGAGGTCAGAAGTTGGTGAAAGATCTTATTATCTAACGGAAGTTCCAAGTCTAGTGGTCTCCATTGGAGCTAAGAGGAGAGCAATTCTCCAAAATGCTTCCAAGGCATTTGTCACACTTTGAATGTAACAATTGTTATCATACCATTGCGATTGACCCTTCTTTTTTACACAAATAGTTCAAACGTATTAGGGAAGTGAGGTATCTTTTTCTTTCACATGCATGCCATTGATCTATCTACAAAATACATGTACACCAAAAAGTGTACCGTTTTATCTATCCTGTCAAACGAAAGTTGAGACATAGCTGCTGCTGCTCCATTCAATTAGCTCAGTCAAAGGTTGAACGAGACAAAATTATACAAAAAGAACACATGGAACTTATTCATCAACTTGATAATACCTTCAATTTTCTCAAACTTTCAATCAAACATCAAATTGCTCAAAATCTTAAAAAATGAAAAGATCACATATGCACATCTCTTAGGTTCCAACTCAAAAAACAAATAGAAAATATAGTACGAGAGCGAGAAGTATTTCTGGGGGAAAATTTTATATATTTATCAGTTTGGAAGTATTTCGAGAGCGAGAAGTATTTATGGAAATGGCTTCGGATAATCTACATTCCTCTTCATCAGAGGATACCTCGTACAGAAATATAGTACTAAGTCCTTTTTCATCTAGAAGAGTCTGCCCTGGTGCTGGTTTCCAGTTCTCATCATTGCACAAAACTCTTCATAGTTGATTCTACCATCCTGTTAAAGCACAAAAGTATTAATCAAAGGCGAGATACTTTAGGGGAAAATTTTGACCTCTGGTTGAAAGCAGACGAGTAACTTACATTATCTGTGTCAACTTCAGATATTATCTCTTTAATAGTAGCATCATCACCCATACCGAAGTCTTTCATAGCTGTTTCCAGTTCGTCTGTTGTGATGAACCTGCAAATACATAAAAAATTCAAATTTGGACAACTCTTAAAAGCTGTAAATGTCCCACTTCTCGATTACACTCGAGATACTTTTTCCCAAAATCTCATCATCTCCATCGAACGGAACCAACAAACACGCAAAGCTCAGGCCTAACATACTTCTTCTGAACATGGTACCAGATATCTGTAAGACTTACCCGCTATTGTCCTTGTCAAAGTATTGAAAGGCTTTGTAAAGGTGTTCCTCTCTTTCTAGCCTGTGCCTATGCATTGTCGCAGTGATAAATTCGATATAGTCTATTGTCCCATTACCATCAACATCGGCCTGAAATGAAGAGATAAATATGTCAGCTCAGTGCAATGTAATTTGGTAATACATTTGAAAGTTCGACAATCAATGCATCTTACAGCCTCCATAAGCTGCTTCACTTCAGCTTCCGTAAGTTTGGATCCAAGTCGAGCCAATCCTGTCTTTAGTTCATCATATGTGATGGTGCCACTATTGTCAGTATCGATGTTTGCGAACATCGACTTTAGTCCTTGGATCTCATCATTAGAGAGATTCTCAGCAATCACCTATAGAGAAATCAAGAGTTCCAAAATGAATAATTAGTTTAAAAGTACGAATAAGTTTATTTCATTCCATATATCTCATGATTCGCTCCACCCTTACTACTCGCTAACTTACTTTTAGTGCCATTTTCTTCAGCTTGTTCATTGCTCTAAATTGTTTCATCCTTGAAAGAACTGCACTGTCTATTGGCTTGTCTGAGGCTTCTCCACCTTCCTTGAGCCATGGATGCTCTGGGAATGTCAAACTTTGGTTAAAAAATAATATACATGTACCAAGCCCAATGTTAGAACAACCGATATTTTATGAATTTGAAAGTGGCTCCGACTTTACATAGATGTAATAAAAAAAGGTTATCATTAATATAATGGATTTCGAAAAGCCAAAACTTGTTGGGAAAGCAAATGCAACCTAAATCACAAAACTAAAAGGATTATTTTGTTTGAATACCATAATATAATCAATCTCGAATGCCATATGAAACCTAAGAAAGGAACTCGCAATAAATTCTACCGCATTATAAAGAATAAAGGTTAATTATTCTGGAATATATATACCTAGAACTTGAGCAGAAGTGATTCTTTTCTTTGGATCCTGCGTCAGCATTTTGCGGACCAGATCCTTGGCACCATTGGATATTGATGGCCATGGTTGACTATCAAAGTCAATGTCTCCCTGTAGAATGGCATCAAATATGCCTTTCTCAGTTTCTGCAAAGAAGTCAGTAATCATCCAATGGACATTGTTAGTCACTGGAATAAGTAATTCATTAATAGTCAGAAACCATGCCAAGATCCACTGATACTGTTACAACAAAGATTGGAAGGTTGTAACAGTTGACAAGCATTCAGGTATATTTCTTTACCTGCCCAAAATGGAGGAACACCACTAAGCAAGATATACAGTATGACCCCAGCACTCCAGATGTCTATTTCCTTTCCATATCTTCGTCGTAATACTTCAGGAGCAACATAATATGCACTTCCAACTATATCCCGATATACTTTTCCTGGAGAGGATGGCATAGATTAACCATACAATATTCACAGATAATACATATAAAATCATATACTCTGTGCAAAAAGCTACCAGATAACCCAACTTACTAAATATGTAGAACCTGCCAAAACATACCCCTCTTTCCAATCAGGACAAAGCAAAGAATTTTCTTTAAATAAAGACAAATTAAAAGAATGGCAGGAAGTTTCTTCATCCCAAAAGTTCTAGATTTATTTCCGTAAACGATAAGGAATACAAAGGGAAGATCAGCAATCTAATTGAACCAAGCTTGATAGCAATCAAAGAGAAAGAATGCATTTATAGGAATAAATTGCAAAAAATAAGTCCAAACAAAGGCACACTACAGGAATAGCAGCTTATAACCAACAGACATGTAGATTTTCAGTCCCCTTGTTGTAAGGTCCATGCAAAATATGTCCCATCAATCATCCCATTTAATATCCTCAGTGAGATCAAAGTAACAAAAGGCATAAATATAAACGCAATACAAATTCTTCCAAACTATTATAATACTTATCCTGTTAAAAAGACATAATAAATTGTATATTTAAACGACATGATAATCAAAATAAACGGCTATGAATTATATAAGAACTAACTAGAAGTATCTTACCTTCTTCAATGAATACTGAAAGCCCAAAATCAGTGGCCTTTAAATGAGCATTCTGATCCTTACTAGACAATAAGAAATTCTCAGGTTTAAGATCTCTATGCATCACACCCATAAAATGACAGGCATGAACAACGTTCACAATAGCCCTACATATAGCAGCAGCTTCCTTCTCACTATAATGCCCCTTGGCAATAATCCTATCAAACAACTCACCACCTGCACAAAGCTCCATCACAAGATGCACAGATTGTTTATCCTCGTAGGCACCTTTAAACTCAACAATATTAGGTTGACCACTTAAATGCTGCATTATTTGAATCTCCCTCTTCATATCCTCCTTGTCATTTTTGGTAACAAGTTTCCTCTTGGAAATTGATTTGCAAGCATATCGCCTACCAGTTGAATTCTCAGTACAAAGATAAGTTACACCAAATTGACCCCTACCTAATTCCTTCCCAATTGTATAATGCAATCTCAAATCTTCAAATGGCTTTTCAAGAATTGTGTCTGGTTTTTGGACTGGTTTTGGGCTCGGAGCTGGAGCGGCAGGCTTTCTAGGGACGTGTATAGGCGGCTGTTGGGAAGGTAATTGATAGGTTGGCTGGACAGGGGATTTAGACTGGTAGGTGACAGGTTCCTGGGCTTTTTGATGATGTTGCATCCTATCAGCACCATTATAGTGCTGCTGGTGAGCTTTCTTGTCTTTGCTAAAACAGTGACCCATTATGACCTAATTTCCCAATTATACAGAAGAAAATTCAGATACCCAGATCAAGAAACAGGAAATGATACTAAAATTTCAAAATTCAGTGCGGAATAAAGAAAAAAAACTGAGCAGAATCTAAAAAACCGAGATAATAAAATACTTACTTTTCAGAGAAAGAAACAAGCTTTTTAGTTCCGGATCAGAAATTAAGGAATGAGATGAAAGAAGATATTTAAAAGCAAAAAAGACAGCGAATATATATAAGTTCTAGATAAAGGCCTAATGGATTTTGAAGTGAATATACTGAGATGTGATAAAAGAGAAAAAAAAAAATACCAACTTGGCTAGGTTGCATCCAAAGTAGATCAAAGTAATTGGCTTTTGAAGCTGATTGCTTTATTTTGAGATCAGATAAGTCTAACAGAGAAGGCAACAGGGGATAAACAAGAACTTGGTCAACTGTGGGACTGAAAGTTCAGTAATTCTCTTAAGTTCTCACAGAGAGAAGAAAAGATGAACCAAAGCAAGAGAAAGCTGAAAGAGACTAAAGCCAACTAATCAACAGCTTCTCTCACATATACACACCTAACCCAACTCATGAGGCTGCTGCTTAATGTTTTTCATTTATAATTTTTTTTAGCTGAAATTTATAAATAAATTCACATATGGGTTTTTTTCTTATCGGTTGGTTTCAGAATTTCTGTCTATCACCTTCTGTTTTGAATTCCCACACGGTTTTGAATCCAACTATTCTATATCGAAAATTGTTATTGACTTTTCTAGAAAAATAGTACACAAAAAATAAAATTATCCTAAAAATTAAATACTGAATATTATAATTATCCATGAAATTAAATTCTAAAATTAAAAATTTTAACTGATGAGCTTTTGTTCTTTTTTAAGAATTACATGTTAATTCACGGAGACATGGATAAAATGAGCATCACAAAATTATATTCAGGCAATTGCTGATTAAATAAAAAGAGGCTATAATCTTGAGAGTTAAAATTAATTAATTTTAAAAAATTATACTTTTCATTTTTTAGAAAAAAAAAAAAATTTACTTCTTTAATTGTGGTGCAAGCTTGGAGACTTTTGTCTACGAGTTTAACGATAATTTATACTAATTTTATCCAATTAGTCACTGAAAATGAAGTCGGAAGAACATGTAAACCTTGGAACTTGGATAGCAATTATAGGATGATTGAAGGCATTATTTCAATAAGGTGGGTCCCAAAATAATAAAATAAAATGAAATAATATTTGGTAGGACACGTGACCAAACGTGCATTTTGGTTAATGAAATGAACTTCCAGAAATTGTTTTTCTTTTTCTCTTCCTGTTATTTACGCGGCTTTGATATGGTAAAGGACACGTTTGGAGAAAGGAAAGTGTGTTTCTAAGAAAGTGCATAAAAACTGCAGACAACTTTTTGGGTAAACAAACTAATTATATATACTATAAGGGTCCGTTTAGGAAAATAAGTTATTTTAACAATAAAAGTTATTTAAAATAAATATAAATAATAAAGACAGTGTTGGATGCTTGTTAAAATAAATAAAAGTTACATAAAAATTTGTTATTTAAAAATATATTATTATCATTATTTTCTAATAAAAAGATATTCAGAATTATCGTTTTAAATTTGTTAGATCAAATCATTCTGTTTAAGTCTTTTTGATTAAAAAAAAAAAAAAAAGGATTTTTAGCTCATTATTATTTATTGGCAATCTGTTACAAAGGTGAAAGAAATAAATCATTGTCATTTTCATTTCTGTTCTATTTTGGTTTTTTGTGCTTTTGTGGAGCACAAACATTTCTTGCAAGTATTGCTTTCTTCATCATCACTTTGTGGTTTTATACATTGAGATTTTTATTTATATTATAGGAAACTTAAAATTGAAAAAAATATTCCAAAACTCAATATTTATAAATTTCATTTTTTGTTCAGTATTGGTGAGGAAATTTGAACTTTGATCAATTAACGAGTCGTATAAGCACTTATTATACCTTGATGTGCTTTAATAAATTTCATTGGAATATATGTTATACTATATTTTAAATATTTTATGTTAGACGATATCAAAAGTTATAATAAAAATTATTTAGAATATTAATTTTTTTTTTTTTTAGTGTGGCAAAAATATAATGGTAGGATATAAAGTTTTCCATTACTATTTTGTATAATAATTGATTTCCACTATCATTAATCATTTAATTATTGTTTTGGATAATGCTGTTATAATAAAGTACAAAAACATCAACTTTAGCCTTTCAGTCTCACTTTCCTCTCTTTCTACAAGAAAAGAAGTGGGGGAGAGCATTATTTGGTTTAAACCGGATAACCAGATTAAATAACCATTATTTAATTCGGTTCGATTGACTTGGATTTTCTTTTTTAAAATTGATAATTCGTATCGATTTGGGTAAATCAGTTAGTTTTATCAGTAGAAGCCAAATAAGAAGGACAGGAGGAAGAGATTAGTAAGTGCATAAACAAATCTTGAAAACGCATTTGCTAATAATTTACAGGGTCAAATGTGAACGAGCCGTCCACTATCCCATATTCCCACTCCAACAACATCATAATATATATGGTGTATTTGCATAATGTGATAGTAATTTAAAATGCTAAAAGATACCTCAACTATCATTATCAGATTTGTCCTTTGTTTCTCAAGTCAGCCAACCTATATGAACCAATTTTCTTAAACTGATATAGATCATGGAACCAGGCCACTAGACCAGGATCAATTAGATTCGGACTCTAAACACCTCAGAATCGCGATATTAGCTTAAACATCTCAGGCAGCACAGACAGAAATTAAACTAAGCAGTCTTTCTGAACTACTCAAGGCTTTTGAGAATTTGATGACTATGGTGGGAAGTGATATTGCAGCAGTTCTGAACTGAAAAATATATATTAAGACTTCTCTTTGGATTGGAACATGCAAAAAGGTCTAATACAGTCAAATATAGAAGAGAGATTGCAAAAATCAATGACCTTTTGCTCTAAGGATTTTACCATGTGCTCTAAAGTCATTCATATCATCTGTTTCAACTAAAATTTTTTTTACCGGCTATATTCAGGGCTGAGTTATAAGATGTGAGGCTTCAATGAGATTTTGATTTCTCAACAAGGATAATTCTGCCATCCCATTCAGTCTCATCGAGGGCTCTGATTGCTGCATCTGCATCTTCATCCCTTTCCAATGATAAAAATCCAAATCCACGAGAATCTCCTGACCTTCACATGCAGAAAAGAAATTATATAATGGTTTCATGCTGCAAGCTAAAGACAATGCTCCATGTTTCTACATATTTGACAAACGGGCCATGATATATAGCTTCATCTGGATTTTGCATATTAGTTTTTGCCCTTCTGTTAATAGAATGATGGGGCCACATGACCAACAAGATTTGTCTAACAACTATGTCATGAGCAATATTCTATAAAGAATGACATTAATTGTTACCTCTTATCTCGCACTATACGAACATTTTGCACGCGGCCATACCTAGAAAATTTCCTTTCCAAATCTCTCTCTGTTGTCAAAAAGCTAAATCCTGCAACAAATAAATTGTTTCCAAGCTTACCCAATCCTGTTCTTCTATTGGGAGGAGGAACCCAAGGTTTACGTCGAGGAGAATATTGACTAGAGTGACATCCTGGAGAAGATCTCTGGCTTGGAGAATACTTCCTCCTAATGCCAAAAGAATGAAATCACTATACCATCCAAAAGCTGCACACGGTCAGTGCTGGTGCATGTGTGTGAATTTATAAATACCACAAAAGATAAACATAGAGACATAATTCATTTACCTTGAGGATCTATAGCGATCTCTCGTATATTGGGATCTTGTTGGAGATCTTCCATGTTGATCTTTCTTGTATCGAGAAGATGAATCCCTTTGCCTAACAGGTGATGGCGACACTGACCTCTCTAGCCTTCCATATTTTCTGGGTGAAATTTGGAATGCTGGTGACACAGATTTGCGTTTCCGATAAGAACTGTCCTTATGCTGAGACCTTTGTGGAGGGACGGCTGTTTGCTTACTAGTTACATTATCCTGAGCTGGGACTTTGTTAGCTTGATCAGGCCGTTTAGGCAATGAAGATTGTCCATGACTGCGTCTGTTTGACCTTTCATGAGAAGATTTTCTATGCCTACTTGATGATGGTGGATGTGATGGCTCTATAGCACCTTCTTGAGAAGACAGTGGCCCATGGCCACTCAGAGACTGCTGTATGTGTGAGGACCTTTCTGGTGAAACTGACATTTGTCTTAGCGTTGACAGTGATGTTGAATGTCTGGGAGTGTTTCCAGAAGAATTTGGATGTGAATGGGAATGCTTTACAACCAACCTCTCTGTTGCAGTCAGGGAGTTCCTCGAATCATAGTTTTGGTCATTAGGTTCAGTCTCCTGCCCGCATGGCTTTTCTTGAAAGATAATCACTTCTTCCTCATTAGAAGTAGTGTTTAACCTATCTAAGCTGGATATGCCCTCCATTTTCTCTGTCTGCTTGTCATATACTGTTATAAGAGACTCATGTGAACAAGCAGAATCTTCAGTTCCTCTTTCACTGTGGGAAGTTTTTTCCATAAATTGGAAGGAGGATTTATGAATATAACTGCCACTTAACTCATCAATTTCACCTTGGCAATCTTCATTTTTAAATGGAGGTTGTGAATTCTCCTGATCATAGTAAGATTCAGTTGGAAATAAATGGGATTTGTCACAAGGGGATCCTGATCTCTCAAGTCTAAGATCATCGGGTGAGGAAGACGAGCTTATGCCCAGCTGGTTTGAATCCACTAGCAATTCTACAGAAGCCACAGAGGTTTCATGAACATTACCTCTGGCTTGTAATTCTCTATCACCTTCTAAGTCAACGTCAAATGCTCCAGCAAAAGTAGAACCACATTTTCTCTGAAGATAACTTGTTTCTTTTTCATTTGTCTCAGAAACCCCCAAATCCATCTTTGAATAACTTTGAACAACAAAAGTTAGTAAATGATTGATTGATATAACTTAATACAAAATCCCCATGTTGAGAAATGACAGATGAAATATAATTCATTTCCATTATTAAATCCTCGACAACTTTTTATAAGAATCTCAAGCAATTGATCAATTAGCAAAAAAATCTTTTCTTCAATGTCAATTGCTCCAAAACAAGAAAGACAGAGGGACAATTATTTATATAGATTTTCAAAGGCAAATACACGACAATATGCATGAATGGCTATAAACACTATCTAACTTAATTTGATTGCTAATTTGCTACCTATGTCAGGTACAGCTTCCACAAAGACAGCTAGTTCTGTTAAACATCCAACTTGAAGAGTTCTTCATCCCTTTTCCCTAACTTCACAGTCACCAATTCCATGATGTCTAATGTACTGCTTTCATAGAAATTAATAGTGTTGTGTCTCATATAATAATAATAATAATAAGGAATGTCATTTGGGGAAAAAAAAAGGTGCAAAAACCCAGCTGGAATCTCATAGAAAACATAAAAAATAAACACAATCTTCATATAATGCAAAAGTGAAGATCAACACATTCTCAAAAACAAAAGTGCAATTAACTGTCACCAGAAGCTCTGTACATTCTTTTAGACAAAGACTAAAACCTTTTGCTTATAACAGCTTAATACCTACCAAGTCAGGTAACAAGGCCAGCCCAACTAGTCCATAAACCAACTAGTGATCTCGGACTAAACTGGCAATTATCTGCTATCACCCACTGTTGCATATTGAATTTTTAATGAATAATAGTCATGTGGCTCAAGTGCACACAGGACACAGCATTTTCAAAACCTTCCATTCTCCCTCATTTTTTCCCTATCAGCTTGCTTTATGTTATCGTCGTGTCATGTTAATGCATCCCTCCTGAATTGCCCAATTTCTATTCGACGCAATGCGAACAACAAAACAAGCTAACCCAAATTGAATTGCTATAAAAAACTACCAAAATTCTTCAGTTTTAAAGATAATTCATTATTAATACATAAATTTGTCTTCGCACAGAAAAGAAAATGGGTCAAAACATGATAAAATGCTGCAAAACCAGGAAATTTATTACCTTAGCAACTTGGTGTAGATTCTTTGTTTCCCAATTCCAATAATTTAATTAGTTAAAATTTCTTAAAGAGGTATTATAATGGCGGATTAGAATGTATATATCAGGAATGGGTTGTGTTTTGTCGGATCTCTGGCGTTATATGGATACGAATTGGAGTCCATTCTCCATTGTTGGGCCTCAGTTGCTGCCCGTAGTAGCTTAAACCGGCCCAGACCTCAAAGATTCATGACCAAATAATAAGTCCCACATATTAAAAATCTTCAATTTAGCAAAAATTTTGTAAAGAATAATGTTATTTGCTTTTCCAAGAATTCGCAGACAAATGACAAATACAAATGAGTTTCGATCACTATATATCAATAGTATCAATGTTTGCACTATCAAGTTCCATTAATCAAAGATTCATACTTGCAAATCAAGATTTAAAGTCAAATATAATAATTTTATTATAATAAATCCTCACAAAAAAGGGAAAATAACTCCAAATATGGAGACAAAATAATAATAATAAAAACAAAAGGATAGATATATTATGAGAAAAATATATCTAATTTATTAAATAAAAAAAATAAAATAGAGTAGAAAGTAGAAAAATATATCTAATTTATTAAATAAAATTGGTGTTTATATTCATCGTTTAATATTTCTTAATAATAAATTGAATTTAAACATATGATGATTATTTCTAATTGAATTTTATTTATTTTTTTTTTTTGAAAGATGAATTTTAATATAAATCTTTAGTAATATTTGTCTGTTTTTATTAAATTTCATTATTAAATAATATAATTAAATTTTAGTCATATTTTCTTTTTTTAAAAGATTATTTATTGTTTAATCTCTTAATGGGCGGCTGGTTTCCTTATTCTGACAGAGTTATTGCTGTTGATATTCACGTATTGGATCTTTCTTGTATGGAATGGAGGAAAGTAGAAAGTGTCAAGAATTCAGTCAGGAATGGGTTTGTACTTCAAAATCAAAGAAAAATCTTTTTTGTAAATTTTAAAAAATTTCTGGGGTTTGGAGGGAGCGAGGCTCCCATCTATGATCTCTCTCCCCCTCCCTCGGCCCCTGCATACAGTAGTTTTCTTTCTTTGGAATGAATGTGCTATTTCTTGTCCTACAAAGAATCCAGAACTACATGGAAAGCTTGTCTATTTCACTTGGAATAGCAGATCTCTGTATGCATATAACATTGAAGATGGAAGCCTTTCATTAGTCGCTCTAAACGATCCGCGGGCTGCATTTTTTTGGGTAATGCCTCATCCAAGGTAATATTCTACGGTTATGTATAATTCTATCAGTGTTGTTTGTGTCATGCTCAACTCTTTTTTTCATATATAACTGCTTCTTGTTGATCAAGTACATGATGTGAAATTGTAGGTCCTCCGATACATGATAGAGGAAGAAGCTGACGCTAAATCTATGGAAGTACAAGAAGAGAAAATGGAACAAACTTTTCACATCTTCCTTCACATATTATTTCATTGATTATCAAGCGTCTCATTTTAGTCCATTACTTGAATTTCAGAGCTACTTGTAGATTGTTTCGCTCTCTAGCGCCTCCAATTCAATCAAAGATGGACTTGAATGTGTTGAGGAATCATTCATTACCTCCATTGTTCATGTTCTTTCAGAAAGATAGTGTTTGCACCTTCTTTGAACCTAGTCATGGAGATAAACATTTTGTTCATTTACCGCAACTGTTCGTTGGATGTGTAATTTGCTATGCCAAAGATGGTTGGATCCTAATGTCCACAGAAGAAGCTTTCACATATTGCTATAATCCTTTTACAGAGCAAATTCTTCGGTTTCCAAACACTTATTCCTCAGAATATAAAGGAAAAGTGGGAAATAGATGTCTCGGCTAAATTCCCCAACTTCCTCAGAATGTACTCTTGTTGAAATTAGCAGCTTCGAGCACCTTGTTTATGTGAGTTTTGCTCGTCTTATAGATACAGAATGGTCGCACAGACAAGTTCCTGATGATACTGACTTTCTCTAATAATTACCCAGTATTCTACAATGGAGCATTCTACTATCTGGGGGAGGAAGAAGATTTAGGGATTTTAGAAATAAGAGATGAGGTGATCAATTGGAAAGTTTTATCAAAGCTAGAAAAGCCTTGCAGCAACGAATACTACAAAAAGTTTCTAGTTGAATGTGAAGGTGAGTTGCTATCTATGTTTGTTAATGATTTCGTTCAAGTTTTCAGGCTAAATCAATCTGAAATGACCTGGATTCAAGCTGGAAGTTTCGGAAATCGTATGATTTTCGTTAGTCGAAAATCATCTTTTTCTGCTGAAGCAAAGAAGCACTCAGGAATGGAGAATAAAATTTATTTTCCCATATTGCATAATCAAAGTATAGTGTACTATTCACTTGACACAAGGAAGTTCCATTCTTTTGATCAAAAGGATCTGCCAGTAGACTTGTATAACACGAGAGCAGCTGCGTTGTGTTTGGATTGTACCTTGCTTTGCTTAAAATGAGTGGTTGATCTGCAGACACGTATTAGACTATTAGTCCCTGTTAGTGTGAAGCATTTGCTTTAGCAGGTTTTAACAATAAATAAAATTATATATTAAATAATTGTCAATAGCATCTAGTGACATTGCTATCAATAAATAAAATTTTCTTTTTTTCGGTTAAATAGACTTTGCTTTGGCAGGTCTTGTTTCGTTTCTAGTAAGGGCTGAGCTGAGCTTTAGTTTCCCAGAAATCTCCCATAAAAAAAGGAGATCAAAGTGCAAAATTGCAAGGAAGCTCGATAGTTAGACTCGAACTCGACTTGAAATTGAATCAAAATCCTATCAAACTAATATCAAAAACTATAATAATCGGCAACTTCAACATTATACAACAATGTTAAAATGTACAAATAATAATCTTATTGGTTACTTAAAGAATCCAAAAACTTATTGACTAACAAGTACAATCACCGAATGAGTTCGTTGGAATATAACTGAATTGTTTTCGGTTGTTTTCTTCCTCGCAGTTTCTATCATCTATATTCTTGGAAATTGACATGGCCTGTGGCTTGTGCATGCTCAACGGCCTCCTAAAGATTTTCATTAAATAAAAGTGAAACTCAGCTATAGGGAAAATCATGTCAAGCTGAACATAAATTAAAGGCAGGCAAAAATGTGTCGACGTAAACTGACCTTCTGACCAACTACTCCAATTTGGCACTCCCCACAGCGCAAAGTGAAATTGGAAGTATCCGTGTAACTTCTTTTCCTGCAAGTAAATTGAGTTTTCAATTGTATATCACCAACTCAAGTGGAGCAATGGAGCAAAAGGCTTCATGAATAATCAATCCTCTTAGGCAGTTGAGTTTAGATGAAAGACGGCAAACATGAGAGTTTTTAGTTAGCCGCAAAATGACCTGAAACTATTGTGCTTAAGCCACCAAAATCTTTGGAGGTTGGCTTCAGGACATCTCGTGCGTTCACATACTCGAGTTTAACACGCTATAATATATTTAAAGCCATATTGAAGTTTCACATATTAAAATCAGTTCCTCGACAAGAAACTTTTTTTTGCATCTTTTTCCATCACAATGACACCAGAAAAGATACTCAATGATACCCATTTTCTTCCTACCAACATCAAGAGCAAGGTAAAAGATAATACCTTTTTTGCTCCTTGACAAGATTAAGGGCAAGGCCCTCAGCTGGTCCAATTGTTCTATCCTTTTGAACAGCAAATATGGTCTGATCAAACTCCTCTGGAGCTCCTTCAAACGGAGACATCTATAAATGCAACAACAAAAAGGCATCGATAAGTAAAATTCGTAAATAAAACAGCAATATTTTTCTTTTGTTGCTTTGTTGGGGGGTTGGGGAGTGAATTAAATAATTATTACATTATAGCAGAAATAAGCAGTAGTCATTGTTACTAAATTCTGTAATTGATGAACTCAATTTTAATTTATTCGGTTAATTGCATCCTAACATGTGAAACTTATCCAATGTTGCATAGTAACCAGGACATCCAATTGCAAGCGATATTCCTCCTTTTTTTTTTTTTTTTTTAACATCTCGAAGGCAAGGTTAAAAGGATATACCTTTTTGGTTCGCTCCCTTGACAAGATTAATCAGGGCAAAGGACCCTCACATGCGTCCAATATTTGTTCCTCATTTCCTTTTTGGTGAACTCGAGCAATATTATGGTGAATCTGAATTTCATAATCTCCTTGCTGGAGCTCTCTCTTCAAACGCGTATGACATCTATTAAATGCATGACAAGCAAAAAGCGCTTAAATCGAAAAATACCAGTAAAATTCGTAAATAAAACAGAACACTATTTTTCTTCTCTTCGTTGCTTTTGTGATTGCCAGTTGGGGTGGTTTGGGGAGTTGAATTAATAGATAAATTCTGTTGATTACCACTTAAGACAGGAACATCATGGCAGGAATTAGACAGAAATAAATCAGCATTACTAGTAGTGCGCATTGTTAGAACTAATTCTGTAAACATCAATCGAAAGGACTCATTTTAATTTAATGTCATCTCTGGTAGGTTAACTGCAATGGTACAAGAAAACCTTCACGTAACATGTATTGAGAACTTATCCAAATGGATTTGACGCGTCTAAACCAGGACATCCAATTGCAAGCGATATTTCCTCCTTTTTTTATTTTTTTTTTAGCGTTCGAGGATAGTAGGGGGAAAAAGGGCCGGGGGGAGTGAGGAAATTAAAGATAATTGTTAAACAAATAAAGATTGTTGACAGTGAATACAAACATTACGGGGGGGGGGGGGGGGAGTGAGGAAATTAAAATAATTGAAACAAATGAAAGATGTTGACAATGAAACAACATACAGCTAAAGCATCATAATGCAGCCCATCATAAATCAGCATCACCCTTTCAGAGTACTGCCTGTCCTGTTAAGTAGCAACAAAAGAAAGAAGTGGTGAACAAATTTAACTACAGAAATGAAAATTCAAGTGGCAAGAAGAAAAATATAGTAATGCGACTCGGAAATACCTTCACACAAATAGATCAATGACTAGTACTGACCTGACCATACAAATCACATCGTGTTGTTTGAATATCATAGGCTGCAATTTCACGTCCATAATAATCTGCTAAAATGGAAAGCTCAATGGCACCTTCAAAAACCGCATGCAGAAAGTCAGCAAAATGGCAAAATTAGTAAAGAAACAACAGAATCGCTTGCTGTTAAAAGAAAAAAAATGCGTGAAGATTTTGCATGGAAGCAACTAGTATTATGCCTGTCTCATTAAAATTGAGCACATGCTTACCAGAAGCCAAGGACCTAACAGTTTGACAACATCCTAAAACCAGCATTTTCACATTACTACTAAAGCTGCAGCTTTCTAAGATTAACATTCTAGTAGCTACTTACTACACAAAACACCATCAAAATCCCTAAAGACAGCATGAAAAACGATTTCCAATTCAAGATTAATTTGTTCACCAATTATGCAAAAAACACAAGATGAGAAGAGAAGGAAATAGAGGAGGAGGAGGAGAAGTGGAAAGCCCCTACCATTCAAGATAACAGTTTTCACTTTTCATCATTTTCTTGGGTATCGAACACAGAAATAGGAGAATCTAAGAGAAGCAGAAAAGTAGTCCACTACCTGAAGTCTACTATGCAATTTTAAGGAGCTAATTAAGTCATTATTCAGAATTAATCATCAATACATAAACAGTTCATGAGGGGCATAACCAAAAGGGTCCAAGATTCCCTAACTGAAATACAATTGCATGAATGATATATTGACAGCTTATCTCTTGAAACAAAAGAACCACTAAAAGGCACTTAAAAAAATATCAATAATCTTTATCTCTATAGAGAACAAAGGAAACCAATAAAAAACAATAAATGATATTTGCGTTCAGCAGTTATACAATCAAATAAAGTGATTTTTTTATATGCTAAATTCTTGGCAAGTATAACAACTTCTTTACTTGGGACAATATTTTAGTCCATTCTAACATGACCCAAAGGGATGATGCCTATGGTTCTAGTATAGCACAAGATATTATATTCAAAGGTTTAACAACTGACCAGTCATAAGGTCCAGTGGTCCACCTACTGAAAAATTTGTAAACTGATATTCTACGGTCATCCTAGGGTAGGTCCTATAGGAAAATTCAGTTGCTTCTCAATAAACAGCTAGATAAAAATTCACATCTTAAATATGAACATAATTCTTTTGCCACAAGAGAACAATTTCAGCAGATATATGGCCGCTGCTTCACATGAATAGGATAACTAGTTTCATATTTCAAACAGTCCCCAACCTTATTTTGGTAATTTGACGTCTATACTAAGTATGAACTCAATAGGAGAAAAGGCAAGTTTTGCATACCTCCCCACTTCTCAGAGTCAAGGATCCAAGCACAATAATCTTGGTTTGGCTTTCCGAGAAATGCTTCATTATACTTCTCTGGATCACTTGCAACTGTTGCAGCTATAACCTTAAAATAAAAGGTATTGATAGAAAACAACATCAGGAAACAAGATAAAAATGGACAATTAATCATATGGAAATTGGAGTAGAATAATGTAAAAGGTGAATGGTCCATTGCAGTTTCAAGACAAACTGTATTTTCATTCTTGAAACTACAATTATTTGATCCATGTTTTTTGATTCAGTATCACAGGTTGCAAGTTAGATTCAAAATTCCATGGCCCTACATTTGCAATAAATAACACATGATAGCCAACGGCTGTCGCATGCTTGTGTCATAGGTTCAATGTTGTGAAAAAAGCAAGAAGGCTGTAATCAACAACCCTCCCTGATCCTTTCAAGCTCCAAAACCTCATGCAGTGGAGGCACCATTAATAATTACAAATTTCTTCCACAAAATAGTGTGCACTTGTTTACCCAATATGGTATTGGCACTTGCTTTTCACAAATGACAAGGAAAAAAAAAATAAGCAATGAAAATAAAATGAAGTTGTTAACACCTAGACATCTAATCATGCCAATAGCAACATGTTAAACATGCAATGGAAAACCAAATTATAGATCATATACGTATTATTCAGTAAAGGTACTAGACTGAATAAAGTAATTTTTGCAATATGTCAAAATCAAAACCTTCTAAGAAATTGCATTAGAGCTTAAGAATAGAGTTTACTAAAAGATGCGGATCATATTGGGTTAAGAATGACATAATTATGCATATTAACAGCAAATATGATAGATGAAAACCTGTCTCAACTCTGGAGCTTTGTTTTTGTCATGTTCCATAACATATCTGCACAGTTCAATAAAAATTGAAATGAACAGATAGTCTAGCAAATTGATCTCAAACTCATTCAACCGAATATGAGAAGAATTACAATTGAAGTTTTAGAATCTAGAGTTTACCCAACAGCATTGAAAAGACAACTGTTATCTGATGGAATTACCCTTCTAACAACAGTTCCTTCCATGCTTTAGATAAATAAACACCTGAAACAATCGAGAATGCATTAGCTGTTTCGAAATTATAATTCAACCATTGCATAGCAGGTTCTTGCTCTCTCTATATCAATTAAACCAACTATAGAGCAAATAGTATACTAATTTCAATTCAAATAGAAAAAGATAAAAAAAAATGAATCAGGCAATAAGCAACTTATTTCGATTGTATAGAATGGATTCATTCTTTGCCACAAGAAGCTTCGCACTTCTCAACTTAAACGTGATGGAAGACAATAAAGCAGTCGAGAGAAGGTTGTAAGTACATAACATTGTACACGCAGAATTTAAAAGAAAAAGGAAACGCCACCATCAAAAAAGGAAAAGAAAAAAAATTGAACTTTACATGAAAGAAGGCAAATTTAATAAAATTCCAAATAAATCAAATTGCACCGTAATGTGCACACACCCGCAAAATCCAAAGCGATAACAAGTATTCACAAAAACTAAGCAGAAAAATAAAAAGCAACAAACAGTTCCACAAGCAAAACCAACCTAGATAAACAATACTTTAAAGAAAAAAATTATTTGAAAAATCCCAGAAAAATTAAACCCTGTCTGAATGTGGGTAAAATTTCTAGATCTAAAATACTTGCCAAGAATAACTTTTAAGGTAAGCAAACCCACAAAAGCAAACTACAGAAACAAAGAAAAGATAAGAATAGAGAAATAAATCTTACAGTCTTTAATTTGAATTTTGAAACAAGTAGGTGAGAGGGAGACGTGAGTTCCTTAGGTTTGTCTTTTTCTTTTCGGGTATGGATTATGAAATGTAAAACCTTTAAATCTTTGAGGTTTCCCCATTTTTACGGGTTTGGGGGACGCCTGATTTTTGCACAAAAGTTTAATTCTTTCTACTGTGTAATTGTTTCTGGATGCTGCTGTCGTGTCGTGTTGTGTCGTATACCGATAATCCTCTGTGGTCACGTATGCTGTTCTGTGGATTTGTTGATTATGATTGGATATTGGTGGGTCCAACTGGTTTTGTATATCTATTAAATCAATCCAATTAAAACATTCAAAAGATAAAGAGTTACTTAAAAAAGAAAAAAATAATTATAAAAATTGTAGCATTATATTGTCTCTTTGATTTAAAAAATAACAATTAAACAAAATATTTTATTTTAAAAAATTTTAAAATTAAAAATATTTCATCTGAAAAATTATTATTATCTTTTAATTATATCTGATTTAAATCAAATATTTATTCTTTTTGGTAAAAAGATTAGGCCTTTTTGTATTTGGTTCAAAGTTGGATGATAATTAAAGAAAAATATTAGTACAATTTAACAAATTTGGCTCACAAATTTCAGGAACAAATTGAGCACTATAATTTAGAAAAATTATTTGTTTGTTTATTTTTCAATTATAGTTTTATAAATGCAAATAAAAAATATATATGAATGTTCAAAACACAATCTTCAAATGCACTTCCAAATCAAGCACACAAGACTGCTGAAAATCTTGAATGATTCTCTCAAACATTTAATTTCCATTTCCATAGGCTAAAAACACTACTATAAACTGAAAGTTTTAACACAAATTGTAAGGGATATCCATTGCCCTAAATTTTGTCCACTAGGCCACTAATTGACCAAGAGGATCACATTAGACGAAGCAAAACATTCAAGGAACGCCAAGCAAAAAAGTGCAATTCAACTGTCTTATTTCCCTCCCAAACCAATTTATTAACTTTGAGCAAACTTTTAGAAGGCATCTACGCAAGTTCCCAGATGAGGCTAGAGTTCCAAGTTTTTAGGGAAGTTGGGCTATGCACTCAATTTCAATCTTGGCATCCATTGGCAATGCTGCTACCTGATATGTTGAACGAGAAGGAAATGGTGCAGGAAAGTCTGCAACATAAACCATATTGCAAGTGTGGAATCAGAAATGCATAAATAAACCTTTTTCATAGTACTGTACAAAATGCTTCTTTTTCTTAATTTTCAATCAGAAATAATATTTATTTTGTTAAATTTTCCTTCAGTAAGCCAATGTATAAAAAAATTTATTGTTCCAGAATAGCTTTGGCTCCTTGCCTCAATCGGCCAACCCAAATACAAAATCAAAATCTACATGCCCAAAGTGAAAAAAATGTAAAAATTCTTTTATGGGTAATACATGATATCAAGAATCTGCTAAAACAATTTCTTTTGTTGTTTCAATTAACCAATTAACCTGTGACATGTCATGTCTTAAAAGCAGACAGTTTATGAGAAGGATTGAAAATCTTAAAACTATATGTGAAGACCAATTAATCTGTGATATGTTATATCTTAAAATCAGGCAGATTATTTGAAGAATCCAAAACCTTAAAACTAAAAGTGAAATTTTGAGAATTCAGCAATTAGCACATGCGGAAGCATTCTGCCGTCCAGCCTAAACTTGCACCAGGCCATATTCTAAATTTACATGAGAGTGACCTAAAAATATGCTCATTATTTTTTTATTAATTTCATCGTGCAATATTAGCAGTATAAATCTCAACCGAACAGAGTGGAAGACTGTATGTAGCTTTACATGCCAAATTCATTTGATCCAAATATAAAAATTCAATAGAACTCACATTTTGCATAGATTTCATTCACTTTTTTGAAATCCTTCAGGTCAGCCAACCTGCAAAGAAGAAAAAAGGAACGAAGACAGCTCGTTGTGTTTACATTTTGCAATATCAAAAGGAATATTGCCAATAAAAAAGAAAGACTTACATAATTGTTGTCTTTACAACAGAGGAATAGTCAGCTCCACTAGCTTTTAATATTTCACCCATATTTTTAAGCAACTGTAAATTTCAAAAACAAAAATCCACCAATTATCAACCAGTTCTAAAGCTTTGAAACCAAAAATTTATCAATAGCAATTTCATGCTTTGGCTAAGGAATAGCATTTGATAAAAAAGAAAGGTCATATTGAAAATCTAAATGGAGATTGATACCAGTGGAAAAGACCAATCACTCCAGTTTCAGCATATATCAGAAGGAAAATACAAATCGATTATAACAGGCGGGGAAAGCAAAACTATATATTAAAGTTTATGGGCCACCTTAAAAAAGACACAGACCAATTGACCCATTCACGTGCCCAACATATTAACCAAGCAGCCTACACTCCTATTCAGATCTACTAGCAGCTTATAAATTGTCATTGCTTCAAGAAATTTTTCTTCAGCCAATTTTCTTAGCCATTCAACAAATGTCAAAAGCCTGTTGTACTTGGGCTCGGCAAATTAAAAGTACCAATTTCTAATGAAAAAATATATTTGGTCCAAACCATAAAATAACCTAAACAAGGCATCTGCTTATAAAGCATGCTGAACAAACTGAGTATTAGCTGGGCTCAGGTTATCAGCTGCCAAGTTGAGCATAGAAGCTTATCTTGAAAATAAATGATACAAATAATTAAACTCTTTTCTTGCAAAACCAAACAAATTCCAACAGTGTGGAAGGTTAGACCAAGGTTAGCTTATGTACCTGTTCCGTCTGATCCTCAACACTATCAGAGATGAACTTCCCAGTCTGGAATAAAGTACCACAGACGCTTATTAGAATAGATATAAAGATATTATACTTAAAAAATATCTTTAAAAAGGGATAATGTACTTGGTTAAGCATGCAAATCTCAATGTGCATGTAAAACACTGAAAATATAGTGATTAAGGAACAAAAGTATATCTTTTATGTCAAAGAAAACAAAATAAATACATGGAATGCTGTTGAGCAGGTCTTGAAATGACAATGGCATGTACCTCCGGAATAAGACCTAGAACCCCAGAAACAAATAAAAGGTTGTTGGCCTTGATTGCTTGAGAATATGGTCCCAGTGCTGCTGGAGCGTTCTCAGTCTTAACAGCCTCCTTCTTAGCTGAAATATATATGTTTCCCAATTGTCAGGCACCATGATAATCAGAGCCCATAACCCAAATCAACTTTTTCTTTGTGACATACATTCACATATAGAAAGAGATAACAGATCAAATGTAAGATTACAAGCCCAAAACATGCTCTAGGTTAGCTTTTTATTAGTCATTTCTTTTTATACAATCTATCAACATATTATTTTCTCTCCTTTGTCCTTTCTTTTGCTCCTTTTCTTCTTTTATCCTTCTATCCAGAGATTGATATATCCACTGCATTCTAAAACTTCAACTATAAAAACATCGATTCTTCAGTCAACAAGTTCAAATCTATAATTAATCTCACAACTTGAAGTTAAATTTTTTGGAAAAAAATAAATTCAATCATTAAAAGCATGAAGTATTTTTTTTTTCAATAATTAGAAATTAAATCAAAAGAATAAAAAGAACAAAAAAATTTAGAATTTCACTAAATTACATTGTGCTCTTCTATCATCAAAGCAACAAACATAAGAAAATAACAACATCAACACAATTATAAAGTAACTTGCAGAGTGGGTAATGCATGAAATCTAGAATTTAGATTTATGGGCAAAACATTACATAAACCACATGATTCATGAATTACAATTCTGACACCACATGCATTTATTTCAATAAAAATTAACTAGAACAATAACAAATTAATAATAATAATAATAATAATAATAACATTAATAAAGAAATCGAAAAAACCTATCGAGTTACTCTGGTACCAAATTGGACACCAAAACCTCGAACACAGTACGAAATATCACCACGATAATCATCTTATCAATTCATTTAGGGATCAATTTCAAACACTCAAAACTCCAGAAATTGTAAATGCCAAATCCAAACAGATAGAAGAGCAAGAAAAGAGAGCTAGTTACAAGAAGAAGTGGCGGTGCTTAATGAGGCCAAGGGAGGAGCGAATGATCGGTTCGAAGAAGAGCGCCAAAGACTGGTGCCGACGACTGAAGCGCAGCCGATTGCCAGCGGAGCCCGTGGACGAATCACTCCTCCGGCCTTCATTATTGGGACATTAAAGGGTTTCAAAGCACACCACGCCATTTTCTCTGTGTTTATTTTGATTTTTTTTATCAGTGAGCAGTGACCGAGTGAGAGGAGACACGAAGAAATGGCAGTGGCAAAGTCTGCAGTCCTTATATTCGAATATTTGGGTATTTGTTGCCTTGTAACTTTTGGAATGTTAATTGGTGGGGAAGAAGATCGGCTTGCATTACTCAGCCCATTAGTTATGGGCTAAAATTTACATATTTGGGCTTATTAGGTCTAAGAGCCCATTAGGTCTAGCTTCATCTAAACAAAGTCAAATTCATTTTCACATTGATTTTGTGTAATGGTGCTGTTAATCGTTATATGAAACCATTTTTTGAATGGAATCGTTGACATGGATTCATTGCTTAATTGTTTTTATGGGTTTGATTTATTGATTAACTGAATTTATTGTTGATTACCAAATTTAATATTTCCAAACTGATTTTGGTTTCTAACAATGAAATTGATTCAACTACTCTAAAATCAAAATCAAAGTAGAAAATCGATTCGAAATTCATATTTTCGAACTGATTTTGGTTAGGAGACTGAAACCCGTTCACCCCTATTCCTTGGTGTAAAACTAGAACCCAGTTATCAATCTTTTCATTTCCTTTTAAGCTACTTGTTGATTAATTGGAGAGCCAAAACCATTAGTTTACAATTCATGGTCATTGCAAATATAATTTCTACACATTGGACAAGAGCCATTTCTGATCAGCCATTTATCTAGGCAGTCCAAGTGAAAGAAGTGCCCACAAAAGGGAAGCTTTCTCATGGAATCCCCATCCTTAAAATCCTGAAAAAAACAAAGAACAATATAGTTTATAAACATTACAGTATTCCACTCATCAAATATATTACATAATTAATTCTTGTCCTAACATAAGTAACGGCGAAGCCAGAAATTAGAGTTAGGGGGGCAAAATTGAAAATTTTACTGTTTTATAGGGTAAAAAAAAAAAATTTGGTTAGGGAGGCGGAGGCCACCCCTGGGCGGCCCCTCCCTCGGTCAATAAACAAGATCATCCGTCCAACAAAAGGGTCACCATAAAATCATCTCAAGAAGAAAAAAATTACCTGTAAACAAATCGAACAACAGATTTCATGACAATGATCCAAGTTGTCACTAATTTGGAATTTTAGCTGAGGAAGCTTTTGAATGCAATTCTTAGATAAACCTCTATTTCCACTTGTATCATAGATGTCTGAAATTTCTCTGTAAGTGGTTTCCAATGCACTAATCTGATCAAAATAATTAATGAAATGCTTAATTAAGTTTTCAATTTATTTATAATAAATTAATTTAAATAAATGAATGAAAATTTACTTACTTGCCATTGATAAGCTTTTAGCAATGCTGGACTTACCCATTCCATGAAGACCTTCCCATTCATCAAGCTATAAAATAGAGCAACCTGTAAAAAATATTTTTAATAGTATTAAATGAAGAACAGTATTATTTAAGTTTCAAATATTGGGTGAATGTATCATATTCAATTCAAATGAATTTAAAAAAAAAAAAAAAAGAAACAAAAAGATGGCCCACCCTAGTATAAACCATACCATGATGTTACAATTCAATAATAAATGGCATTTCCAAATTAATTATTGTTGAAATGATATTAGAATTATAACCCGAACAGGTAACTAAGTGTCAAAGAGTACTTTTGAATTTATCTTCATGACTTAGATCATGAATTTGATCTTCCCTAATGAAAATTTTTTCCGATCAGGATCAGCCCTTTGCCTCAAATAATGTGTGTTATTTGAGCTTTTATTCTATTTTAGCTCTTCAAAAAAGAAAAAAAATTTACCTTAGACAATGGCTCACCATCATCAGCAATTGATTCCAACAATTGTACGGCAGTGACTGCACCGGTCACAGCACCTATTGCAGAGCCATGAAGAAACCCAGTTTCTGTTGTCTGCCCTTTCATGGCTCCTACTATTGTTCCCAAAACAGCCCCTCCTACAAAAATAAATAAAAATATATTAGATTATATATATTATAATGAATTCACGTGACAACTTATTTAAGCAAATGTGTAATAATTAAATTCATGTCAAAATTAAAAAAATTTTAGTGGAAATATTTTCTTTTTTTTTTTTTTTAAGAATTTCCTCCATCTTTCCATTTTTTTTAGGGTTCTAATAACTAATATATTATTTCTTTATGGGCACAACAGATTTGCATGAGAGGAGAGAGGGAAAGCACATACCTAATGCAAGAACGCAAGTGGAAGTAACAAAGAAAGCTTTCTTGATAACCCTAATAAAAAACCCAATTCCAAAAACTTCCATTGCTTCAAGAATCCACAAAGAAACCCTAATAAAACCAGAAAGCCAATTCTTTATCATTTGGTAGGTCTTTGGAGGGAAGAGAAAGGTAGAAGCCAAAGGAGAAATAACTGATATGAAAGAAATGAACAAAGGCAAAGCAAGATCTTATAAATATAGCAAACAATTAGGCATTTAAAGAGGGCTACCCCATCACATGCATATTTACAAGTAACTTCAAATTGCTGAAGATAATGCTACTCCCAGAGAGCCATAATGAGTGTCTACAGTACACTTGGATATATCAATAGAAGGGGAAATAAAGAAACAAATAATATCTATCGCTCTGTATATTTGCATGTTTCAGTGAAAAAAAAAAAAGAAAAAAGAAAAAGCACGACTTCTTTATATTTTTTACAAGTAACTCAATTGCTGAAGAATAATGCTTACTCCCAGAGAAGCCATAAATGAGTGTTCTAACAGTACACTTGGGATATATATCAATAGAAGGGGAAATAAAGAAACAAATAAATATCTATCGCTCTGTAAATTTTGCATGTTTGCAGTGAAAAAAAAAGAAAGAAAAGAAAAGCGAGAATCTATACTTTTAATATAAGAGGAAATATATATATTATATATATAATATATATATATTTAGAGACCCAACTGGGCTGCAGAGATGAATAGGTCTATTCATTTATTTATATTAGAGACCCAACTGGGCTGCAGTGAATAGGTCTAGTTCATTTATTTGCATGCCATATCTCTGGACGCTAGCTATAGATAACCATTGAGAAGCAATACATCTCTTTCCCTATCGATTTCACTATCTGATAATAAAAGCACTAGCTATTTTTCTGGTGAGTACTGCAACCAAAGCAAGGGGCGCCAATGGGAAAAATATAGATATAGAAATAAATAGGAAATATAGTTTTGAAAAACCAAGTGCTCTGGGAGAGGATAGTTGGTTATAGCGCCTCTGTGGGCTGGGAATTAGAGCATTGGGGGACAGAGGACATGATTTTAAGACAATAAAAAATCTTGGAAATATGGACATTTTGTTTAGATAGGGCAGGTGGTCCTTCTTTTGCATTAATTGTTATTATGGGTAGCTAGCAACTAGAAAAATGTAGGTCAGTCTCTTTCTTTCTTTCTTTCTTTCTTTCTTTCTTTCAGTCTTACTCTCTGTTTGATGTGTTGTCTTTTGTTTGCTTTTCTAACAACATTACAGAAAAACAAATACTAGTTTCTTTGTTTGAGATGTGTCCACCCAGTATTAATTCCTCGCCATATTAATACTTTGTCCAATATGCAGATAAGATGAATACAAGAAGCAGGAGTTTATGTAGAAGTGATAGAGCATTACCTCTTTTAGGAGGATAAAGACTTCCCTACATGGAATCTAACCATAGACCAGTTCTAATAAAATTTTTTCCAAAAAAGAGAGGCTTTTTAAAAATGATTTTCGCTTTATTTTTTTTTTTTCTAGTATAAAACATCTTCGTTTCAAAAATATATATATATTTTCATTGGTCTGATCTATATTTAAAGTGAGTATGCAAATTATTCTATTCTCAAGAATGATAATGAATATTATTCGATCCCATACTTTATTATTAAATACAAGTATTGTGCATCCACTGTGATAAATGTTGAATTGACATACTCAATTTAATATTATTTATTATTTACTGTTGAAAACAATAGTTAGTTGAATAATAAGTTGAATCCACTGTAATAAATGTTGAACTTGACATACTCAATTTAGTTAGTTGAACTTGTATCCACTGTAATATATAATATGTTGATAATTTTTTTATCAGCAAAATAAATTTATTTTACTATAATAAACAGGCTAGAAAAAATTCAGTTTATCTAAATAATTTAATCCAAGCCAACAATCTCTCCAAAACACTTAAATCTAGCCTGAAAAAATTTAGTAAATAAACCTCAACAAAACAAAATAAAAAGAAACATCCATAAAAATCTCTTTTTGGGTAAAAAAAAAAAAAAAACCAACAAATTAAAACACAACTTTGCTATTACATAATAAAACTAAATTGCTATTACATAATAAACTAAATGTTACATTCATGCTAAGAAAAGTTTTACGGTACCACTCTCTTCTTGGCTAAACAGTATGTAAAATGATTATTTTCTTGCATCTACTCCTTTCTTAACATCTACAATATGTTGGTGATATTGTCATATGTTAACAGTACGTTCATCGTGCTACTATATATATTTTTTGGGGATACAACTAAGGGCATCTAAAATCTTTCTGGGCGCTGATTACGTTTGATTTAAATACAGCAGAAATTCTATAAGCGTCTATTAATGTGAAAGTTGTTTAAAGAGAGTACACCATAAACCAGGTGCATGTAGGGTGGTCGGTTCAATGCCCTTTTAGGATTTATCGGGCAATACTAATTATTTTAGTAACTGTTAATTATTTTATATTAATAATTAGTTGTTTATATAGTGGTTTAAAGCTCAAGTGTTTAGTAAAAGTAATTGATTGATTAGTTGTTAAATTTAAAATAAAAATAAAAAAAAGACATTGGAATGTTAATTTAAAATTTTAACTTTGGCCATAGAAGTAAACTCATTATAATTTTATATACAAATTTACCATATTCAAGAATTGTTTGGAAAAGTTGCAAAAAAAAAAAAAAAGGTTTGCATTCTTCTTCGAGTCTACTTTACCAAGTTTTGTGGATGGAATTTGCTCTTGAGATCCTTATTTAATGTTGAGAAAAAAAAAATATATAACTTTTTTGAAATTGAAAAAAAAATATAAACTCTATTTATTTTCAGAAAATAACTTAATTATTTAAAAAATATTTTTTAGACTTTCTGATATTTGACATTTGATTAAACCATGGAATATGCCCACGAATCAGAATATTTTGGGCAAAAGGTAGAAATTTAGTCTAAAAAATATTTGATAATTTTGTATTTTGTATTCTAATTCAGCACTAGTGAATTTATATTATATTGCAGGGATGACTAGTTCTAATAAATAATTAGAAACAAACAAAAGAGAAATGAAAAGAAAGGATCAAATACAAAAACAAATTAACACTAATAATAATAATAATAATAATAATATACTCAGCACCACTGAGATTGAATCCAAGCACAGTGCAATTGTTGTGGAAGTCTATTGGTAAATCCCTCTGATCCATCGAATGAAAACTATTACTGTCAAGAGAATAGAAATAATACTACCACCATGAAACCTGGGAAAATGGATTTTGTTCTTCATTCTGGTATTGTTCGCCAAAGCAGAAAATGAGGAGGAATGACTAACAAAAAGCTTATGATTTCCCAGATTCTTGACTTTGATCGGACTCATTGTAGATTGATCTAGCCTAAAAACTTTAACCCACTTCCCAAATTTACACACAAACACAGATAGCAAGTCCCCTTCACATTCAACCAGATAATTAAAATGCTTCATTGTAGAAAACTGGGTTATTACTGTTAAAGGTGAAGCCACTGTCATCTTCTAGATTTTCCCACCTCCACTGACGCTCTGCTCCAATGGTGAATACATGCAATTAAAGAACACTCTGCTCCTTCTAGTGACATATTCGACTTGCTTATTTCAACTACAACACTGTCTATAGAAATTGGAAGACTAGAAAAGCAAATGCATGTGTTTATTAGAAATGTATTTTCCCCACAAACAGTTACAGGGAACTGCAGAATTTTACCGGTAAAAGGTTGGGAAAAAAAGTGTATGTAGAACCTGTAGACATTAGAAGCCAACCATTTTTTGAATAACAAATCTCACAACCTGATAATTGTTGGGGTAAACTCATTAGATATTTATCGCCATGCATTGGGTCTAAGAAAATGCGTATATTATCCCCATAAAAGTACATTAGCCATGGAGATAGTGGTAATGTATGGTTTTCTATTCTATTTAAATTCATCTTCCATCGGATATGAGGAGCTATTGATCGAAACGTTCGACAAGTAGCACGAAAGTGTAAATAATCTATTAAGGTGAGTTTCATGGCAATCATTGAAGTAATGTCTGAGGGAAGATCAAGAAGAAGTGATTTTCCATCACAATTTTTGATTTTCCCCTCTCCTTTGGCTTCTTTTTTACGCGAGTTAACCTGCGAATCAAATAACATAAGTTTTATTCATATTAGAACTTCAAAAATTTTCAAGAAATAAAAAAGAAAGGTAACATAGAGAATGGAGTAACAGAAAGACTGTTATCTTCTGCGTTGTAAAAGTACAATTTCTTCTTTCCCTCTTCTAAATTGTCCATAGTGAAATAAACACAATTTACTTGTACTCCTATATTAATGGCAGGATAAAATAAAGAATACTCAGAACCAAAAAAGATCACTAAATCCTTTATACATTCCACTTTGTTCCAGACCATATGAGAAAAATCTAGCCTTTGAATCTCAACAGCATCAACTTCTGAAACAAAATTCAACAGTACACAGATACCATAAATTTCACCGTCATAGTCAATAAAGCATTCTGCTCCTGTAATTGTAACCCCATTATAAGTACAAGTTATATAATTGCAACTTGCATGCAAGGACCGCAACAAAACACAATTCTGCTTGATTTCATCAACAGCAATTAGTGTTCTATCTGTGGAGATGCAGTATAATTTTCCATTGCAGCTAACTGGGCGGCATAGAGTTCGTTTTTCATCTTCATTATACTTTCCATTCTCTTGCGAACACCTCTTGAGCTCAGATTCATAGTTCAACACAACCCATTGCTTATCATTACAAGAGTATAATTTTATATAAAAAATTAGAACATAGATATAATTTCAATGAATATTAAAAAAAAAGGTCGAAAATAGCAGTAGTATTTTATATAAAAAATACAAAAATTTGAAAAAAATTAAGTGTCGCTCCCTTAATTTCTTAAAATTACCAGCTAATATTTTTAAAAAATAACTATTCTAAAAAATATTATGAAAATACGTAGAAATATATATTTCAATAAATAAAGTATTAGCTTCCATACCTCTTCAACTCTTATTATATATGTATACATTGATGCTTCAATTTACTATTCTAAAAGAAAATAAATTCTTACTAATTATCTCATCTTCTGATATCTTGTGTTTTATACAACAAAATTCTTTTAGCATTTCAATCGGTTACACATTTAGATATTCTTTTACTTTTCAAGTCTATTGAATGAATAAATAAATTAATCATTAGGTATAATAACCAATTTCAATTTTGCATATTATATTTACATCATACTTTGATTTATTGTTATTTATATTTTCTTATTACACATATATATTTTACGACTCAAATAAAAATATAAATATCATACATCCATGAAAGCGCGGAGCAAGCAGTGGCGGAAGATAATTTTTTCTTAGAGGGCAAAAATATAGATTATCGTTTCATATTATGGATAAGAAATAAACTTAATTAAAACTAAAAAAAAAAAAAAGAAGTTGTAAATTGTTTATCTGCTTATAATAATAAAAGATATACAACATATGAAGGCTTTCAACCATCTGTAGTTATTTTCTCTTTGAAGCCCAAAAATAATGAAAATTGCTTTTTGTTTTGTTAGGCAAATATATATAAAGAAGAGCGTTGCATTCTCTTAATGCATAGCCAAGACACCATAAATAATGTAATTTCCACTAAAATGGGCATTTAGCAAAAAGCATTACATGTATATCAGATGGCGTTCAGTCCATGAAGCCAATGATGCATTTTTATCCTTTTTGACCATTTACAACAAGAAACAAACTCATTCTCTACCTCCACGGTCAAAAAATGATACTACTACTTATTTCCATCTGGTTTTCTCTGAAATTTTTTGATAAACAACATTTGCATCATTAATTCTACCTACCTAGATCTTCTGTCTCAGAACATGGCGTAGTTGGACTTTCTGGCTCTCCATCCTTGCCTCCATAAGCCTTGCCTTCAAGCTATTCTTTTGCGCACCACGTGGCCATTCAATGCAACCTTTCATTCCTCTAGTTATGTGAGGATTACCCGAGTCAGGCGAACTCCATTGCCCCACCAAATCAGGGCTGTCTCCTCCCCCTTTACCTGACCCTCGATCTGGAGATAAAATGCCCCCACTAGATTTCCTTCCATTGGATAGCCTGCCATTGATTCCATCTACTGAAATTATTTTATAGTTATCTCCATTGTTTGGGCCTGATCTCCAAAGCTTTGCGATAGATGACACTTTCTTCAACTGTCTTGTTGGCACAGAACAGAGTTCGGTGATTTCAGTTATTGGGGTTTCACCGCATGCATTTTCTTCCCATTCTGTTCCACTCCCTGAAACATTACTATCTCGGTGATTGTTGTTGACAGATGGGATGCTCCCTTCTGGTGAGTAACTTGAACCTTGATCTTCAAGATGGCTTACAGTTTCCCACCCGCTCTCATCTTCTTCAATATCACCATTGTGATCAAAGAATGCATCAGAATGTCTGTGATTGCTATCCTTGGTAATCACATCTACTTCAGGACTCACAGTATGAATTTTTGAGGCGTGGCTGGCAGGACTGTATGCAATACAAGGCTCAATCTCCCTCTCATTGGGTTCACCAGCATTAACTTCTTCAAAAACAGAGAAAATGTCATCTGGGTTAGCTGGCTCATATGTGAATTCCTTCATCTCCCGGATATTCACAGAGGCAGCAGCATGTAGAAGCAATTCAGCTTCTTGCATTTCCTTCAAATCTGGGGTCGCGCTTCTGGATCTTAGAAAAGTTTCTAAATCTGCTACAAGCTTGTTCATCTCTGAATATTTTTGTTCAAGTGCCACCTTTGCGTCCACCAACTTCATTTGAACACGCTCTTCACGCCATACCTCAGCCATCTGCAACATCTTCCTTTCCTCATCCACTTCCTCACGGAGTTTCATTGATTCTCTCTTTAGTGCTTCAACTTCAGCTTTGTCCTCCCCAATCTCCTTTGCAAGCTCGTCACATACTTCCTCAACCAATTCTCTGGTTTTTCTTTCTTTTTCATAGTCTAGCATATATCGCTTTGCTGAAACCTTCGCATCAGCTAGCTCATTAACCAATTTGGAATTTACAATTTCCAACCTTTGACGATTTTTTCTTTCACGGTTTAAATCTGCTTTAATGTCATCAATAAATGCACGAATTTTCTCATGCTCTCTGCTCCTCCATGCAGCCCTTTCTTCACTTACTTTCTTCAAAAAGTGCTCCAGTTTCTTTTTTGAGGACCGACGCTCATCTTCAAGCTCCTGAATGCATGCCTGAGCCTGCTCTAGTTCAGTTTCAAGGGCAGAAACCATTGATACAGCACTAACTTGTTGATCAAGACGCTTCATGTGGCTGTAGATCTGTCGCACCTCATCTAATGTTTCCAAGCAGACAGGATCCCATTTAGTTGCGCCCTCCATTGCAGAGTTGGAAAACTGAAATGAAGGTTCAAGCTAAAAAAAAGGGGAGCAGGTCCAGTATTAGGCAAGAAAACATAAAAATTAAAGAGATATAAATAATAATTGCCTTCCAAGTACCAAATAACATAAACAAAAAGGCAGAGCATTAAATTCTATGCTTTCAAATTTTCATGAATAACAATAATTGCAGATGGATATTTCAAAACTATATAGCTAATAAATGGTCATCAAAAGAACCTTATTCCAATGATTAAATTTTTCCATAGCAAAACGGTGGATGATGTTCTGATCAAATCCATCTTAGCCACAACTTATTTTGTCCGCTAACACATATACAAGTATGGAGTGTGAAAAATGCCAAGTACAAGACAGCTCAATCTCGGCATTATTACAATATAACAAACTAGTAGTTCTCTGGATTAGAGCTTTTCTATCTTAACCATATGTCACCTTCCTTGATCTAGGTGATCGATGATTTTATATTTAAAACAATAATTTTAGTTTATCATGGATAGGGATTCTATTTTTTAATCCAGGAAAAATTGATTTAAACTATGTTGATTGCAATGCTAAATTCATTTGATAAGCTGCTGAGCCGTTTCTTCTATCTTATCTGTCTAGGTTTGATTAAAATAAGCTTTTGTATCAACACAAATGTTTTTATATGTAAATCTAGACATGTTAATCTAGTATGCATGTGTGCATTCAAATATGTATACACTTATTACAGAATTGAAATTTCCACGTAGAATAACGGCAAACAAAAAAGCGAATTAACTTTGGGTCCTAGTTTCCTACTAGGAATACAGATGCCAGACCATAATAGAACAAGCAATTTTGTCCATAAGCTAGACGATCATGATGGTTACACGACATCAATACTTCAAAAGGAATACATCGAAACAGGATGTGGAACATTTGTCATCATGTGTATCCCGCATAACTTAGGTATATAATAATTAAAAAGAAGTCTTCAGTTTATTATTAGCATCACAAATACTGTCCATATCGAACAAACCATTAGCAATAACAACTTAGTTAAGAAAATTTTAGAATGTGCACACCTTAGAGAATAATTTATTCTTCACACCAGAGACAGAACTCGGACTCTGTAATGGATCATGTACTTCAAACCCTTTAGCTTTGCCACTATGATGAGGCATAAATGAGATGCCCGCATGACCAGCGGCAGGCTGCAGAGACAAATAACAGGCAACCTCAAAATCCCCAAAAAATTAAAAAAATCAGAAGCAACATAAGTTTGTGGCCTTAAGGACACAAAGAATCAGTATTTTCATAAAGATCAATTCCAACAGCATACAATAAGGAGTCAAATTTTTTGGAAGCCATTTGAACAGAAGTCGAGCAGGTAGCCCAATTAAACAGATTCTATACTTGCCAAAGATAAAATAAACCAGATTCTCTGATTTTTATTTAAAAGGACAAACCTCCTCAATTAGGGATCAACTATACCAGACGAACAAATAGATTCCATTCCAATCCAGTTGATAATAAAATTAAAGAGCTTTTTGCAAAGACACTAAATTGGATAAGTACACCAAGTTTATACAAGAGTTCCAAAATTGAAGTCACCAGCTTTCTGTAATGATCGATGAACTCTTTTAGAGTAGTAATTTAGTCAATAGAAACTTGAAGTTACAATTTTTCCTTATTTATTCTTTTTCATTATAATTTTTTGGCACCTAAAAAATTGACACCTCAATCGCTACAGTACTTGCATACATCTGCATTGTCATCATCGATCAAAAACAAGAATCAAACAATATCGAATACAGATTACTAGATTTAGATCAGTTCAATACACAATTAAACCAAATAATTCTCTAGAGCTCAAAACCAGACGTATTTACCCAGGTGACTATACACAACTCGGAAAATCATAGATCTTTCCATAAAAATAGAAAAAACAAACCATTAGAAAGTCAAAATCACCTGAAACCCTAATTGACCCTTCCTCCTCCTCTCACTGGCACCAGCTGCCACAGTCTCCGGCAGCTGCAATCGCCACAAACCAGCTGCCAGCTTCCTCGCAGACACAGCCCGTGAGACTTTCCGTCGACCTTTACGGGCACCATTCTCTATCTTCTCCTCCTGCTGATGCTCATCTTCATCTTCATCCTCTTGAACTCGAACATTTCTCTCTCTATCTTCGATCTTCCATTTCAAGAGAGGAGTTTCCGGTCGACTTCGGCTACGCTTTCCGACCGGAGTTCCAGCTCTCTTCGATTTTGTAAGAGTAGGATTCCTAGTTTGACGTCGTCGATGCTTGAGATCTGGATGAGGCTGCGGATTCTGAGCTTTGGAAGTAATAGAGTTCCCCGGAAATGTCGCCGTAGAATGCGGTTTTCCGGTAACCTTCATTGTTGTAGCTTACAAAAATCCGCCATTTAGCAAGCAAGAAAAGGAAAAAAAAAAAAAAAACAGTGAGCTTTTTAGAGAGAGAGGAAGAGTTTTGTTTTAGTTATAGTGATGTGTGTGAACTGAGAGAAGTACAGAGAGAGCTAAGAGAGAGGGAGGACCAGGAGCTGTCTACTCTTCAGGGATTTTTGCTGGAGAAAACGACGCAAACGGAGATAGTAGAGATGTATTCATATACGATACGCATACGAGTAATCTACCTGGTCAACGTATTCTTTTATCTTGACCATGAATTTTGTTTGCCGGTGATCTATACGATGCCGTTTAGGAGGAGAGAAACGCGCTTTGCACGTGCTCTCCAGCATGTGTACTGCAAAGAGACGTTGTACATTTTGTATATTTAAATCGGTTCTTGAAACGGCGTCGTTTTTCTGTCCATTTTACCTCTTTTATCTGAATTTTTATGTTGCTAAACAATTAACATCCAATTAAACTATATGTATATCAAGAAATATTATGAAGCATTTACCTTTCTATCTATATACATATTTTTTTAATTTAAATCACTCATTTTGTAATGATTCTATTTAAAAAATAGCTTTAAACAACATAATGATTTAAAATTCATTCAGAAACTCAAAATGATTAATCTAAATAATTTAAATTATAACTAATTGATCGATATAAATCATTTCTATTTCTTATACATCATTGATGTATCAGATACGCTACAGTTTGGGGATGGATATCACACATTTATATAATTAAAATTTTTTACAAATAAATTATTAAAAAATTATTTTATTTTAATAAAGTTATATACAAGGTGAAGCATTTCTATGTGAAACATAAGGTTGATTAGTATCATAAAGAAAACCAAAAAGGATGAAAGCTAGTACCAATTAAGCATGCAAGTGATAGTTGTGCATGACGAGTCATTATGATTCATAAGTGCCACTCCACTATGTTTGGCAAAGAGGTAGGACTTTTCATATTTTACATACAAACACTCAATTAATTTGGAGACCCATACGTGTGCCTAAAAAGCTTACCTTATGTATTCATAAATAAACACATTAATCACTAGATATACAAACTAAAGCAACATGCTAGATAGGAGTTTTTTCACTTTTTTTTTCTATTTTTTGAGTACGAGGAGAGGGGTTTCGAATTTTAATCTATTGACAAGTCGTATATCTATTTTTTTTATATATATGTCTTAGTATGGCACTCTTTTTTTCATATATAAGAAAATTTGAAAGTAAAAAATGAATAGATATTAGACACAATGCATTTTTTTTTTTTTTGTAAACTACCGGTATTTGCACCCTATTACTAGGGACTGACTAAATCCGACTCAAGATTTAGTTATAATTAAAGCTCTTTGCTCCTCTTTGTAAATATGTTTAGTGGGAAGAATTCGAAAGCTCTTTTCACATATCAAGCATATATTGCCAACTAAGTCACAACCCGTAACTCATAATGCGATATTTTTAAAGCATTATTTCACTATAGTTTTTTTTTTATGTAACGTTTAGTGTTTTTACTAAAATATACAATTATTTCTATTATTTATACCATTCGGTGACATAACGTTTATATTAATTTTTAGAATTTAAGAGAGTAAATTATAAAATATTATTCATTTTAATATCACAACCTGCAACTCATAATGCGATATTTTTAAAGCATTATTCCACTATAGTGTAACGTTTAGTGTTTTTACTAAAATATACAATTATTTCTATTATTTATACTATTCGGAGACATAACGTTTATATTAATTTTTAGAATTTAAGAGAGTAAATTATAAAATATTATTCATTTTAATACTTGATAAAATGCTAGTTAAGCAATTAAAATTATTATAATTACTAATATTTATTAAAATAATTAATTTTACTGAATATATCATAACTCAAATTACATTTTATATCCTTTAATAATACATACACATATTTCTCGAGGGCAATACTACATACTTGCATGTAGATCTAGCAAGTTCCTTCCTTGACTTCTCCTTATTGCACATTATTATTATTTAGTTTTTTTTTTTTTAACAAATTATAATTTAGTTGATAATGAAAGGCATCCAAGGAAAATCCCACGTGGCAGTTGGTGGTTAAATAATCTCATAAAATCCTATGCTAATTTCATTTTGCTAGACGACAGAAATGTACCCACATGGCTACCTTCATGGTCTTACTCGATTTAAGAGCCCCAATATTAATTAATATTAGCCATAAAAATAGATTTGGTAATTTAGATCTAAAATATTATTTTAAACCTTAATTAATTACTCACTAATAAATTATTAGTGACAAACCTTTTTCCCTTTCAGAAGGAGAAGAAGAGGAATTGTCTTTGCGGCTATTGATCTTGATTAATTCTCGACCATTGGATCTACGATTAGCCTATTCTTGAAATGTTATTTTTGTAAATGGAGAAGAGGGTTGGCCACCCAATACAGAAACATGTTTTGTCCTTGTCATCAAATGTGGGGCCCGGTCCAATTACCCAAACTAAGCACGGGCCCCTTAAATTTTTTTTTTTGGGGGTGGGGTCCATAGATGAGCTCGAAATTTTGATGGCTCGTTGGACCTTTTGATCGAGATACATTCATTCATTCCATGGTCGGGTTTATTATTGCTCTCTGTTTGTCGTTTTGAATGAATTGCAATTGCATTTTGTTTGAGGGAAAATATTCTTACAAAGAGAGGCTAATAATGAAAAGCTAACTCCATGTGATAGAGGTACGTGAGCAATGGCCTTTCGTTTTATCAAATTATGTACTAACTGGTTTGGTTTATTTTTCCCTCTTATACTTCTAATTAATTATGGAATAGTTGCATTTTTTGTGTATGAATTTTTCAAAAATTTATATTTTGATATATGAATGGAAAATATTTATAATTTAGTGAACCAACTACTAAATTTTTAATAATTGAGCATGTCAAAAAAAAAAAAAATTAATAATTGAGTGAATTTTACACGTGTCGATAGTCAGAATTCCTATAGGACAATCGGACCCCACATTGCCAATCATTACCTTCATTTCTAGATATTCCTTCTGTCTCAAAAAGATAGTTCATCTTTCCATTTTGATTTGTCCAAAAATATAGTTCGTCCCAAAATATAGTTCGTTTTCCTTTTTTGTACTCCCTTCATCCCAAAAAAAATAGTCTACTTTCTATATTTTCACATAGATTAAAAAAATAGCAGTTATTATGGTTAAAAGACAATTTTATTCATATAACTTTCCTATTATACTCATCTTAAAAAACACATGAGCAATTGTTTTATAGAAATAATAAGTAAAAATTAATGATGGTTATTGAGAATAAGATAAAATTTAATAAGGGTATAATAGACAATTTAAGTATCAAATATAATGAAAAAAAAAAGAAAGTGGACTATATTTTGGGAACCAATCAAAAAGAAAAAATAAACAATCTTTTTGGGACGGATGGAATATTATAGTTGATCCATAAATTATCTACTATACCCTTATTAAATCTTATCATTTTATCTTATTCATTAATTTTTACTTATTATTTCAATATAATAATTGCTCATGCGTCATTTACGATGGATATAATAGGAACGTTACATGAATAAAATTATCCTTTAAACATAATATTTGTTATTTTCTTAATCTGTGTGAAAATAGAAAATAAACTATCCTTTTGCACTACAAAAAAAACGCCATTTTGCGACCGACAAATCGGTCGCAAAATGGCCAATATCGGTCGCTAATTTCATGTAGCGACCGATTTGCGACCCACTGACAAATCGGTCGCAAATGGCAATATCGGTCGCTAATTTCATGTAGCGACCGATTGCGACCGACAAATTGTGCCGTCGCAAACATACTGGTCGCAAACATATTTTGCGACCGATGAGACAATCGTTCGCCAAATTAGATACGATAAATCGGTCGCAAAATTGCAATAATCGGTCGCAATTTTTGGTCGTAAGGTTTAATTGGAAATTCAGTCGCAGAATATGGTCGCAATTGTTTTTAAATCGGTTCGCAAATCTCGGTCGCAAAAATGAAAAAAATAAAAAAAAATTAAATATTATTTTTGAAACCAAACTATTTCTGGCACCTGTCGAAAGTTGACATATGCATATATATCACACAATCCTATTCAACGAACAGTTATAACATGTCAACTTTTTCTTGTTCTGAACAAATTAAAATATGCAAAATACAAAATGAAAAAATAAAAGTCGCAAAATCAAATCTATATAATGCTGCTGCTCATCTGCCCACGGATCCGATTGATCGCGACTCTCCGATGTTCGATCCGCCTGGGAGGAGTACCCTGCTGGATGTGAATGTAGGCCAAGGAGGGTGACAAGGTTCGATCTGCAGCAGTCGGGATCAGGAGCCCGACTAGTGGCTGCTGCTGGAACGTCGAAACATGGTCGGTCTGTAGCAGGCGGCAGGATCAGAGGGAGAAGTACCCAGCCATGGTGCTCACCGACAGGCCGCATCACACTGCGCTCTAAGCTCTGGCAATCTCGTCTCTGGCTGATCAGTCAAGCTGAGCCCGGTATATCATCAAATCAAGTGCGAGTCACTGTGCTCCGGCTGTGTGCTGGCGCTGGCTTTGTAGAGCGTGCAGCCTGCTGAGGCCCACGTGGTAATGTGACTGCCTGACGAACCGATGCCGTATACCTTCTCTTCTTTACTCGCCCCCTACGGCTCGAGATAAGGGCTACCACCCAGCCTTCCCACTCGTCAATTCCTTGGACTCAGCTTTTTCGGCATTTCATCGGTCTGAGAAGTAACAATACGCTCCCGAGCTGGTAGTATAGTTCTCCTGAAAACAAAAAATTAATTAATCAATGCCAATTGCGCTTTTTATTATTTTCAACTTTGGTACATCTTTGCAATGATTAGAGGGTAAATGTAAAATATTATTCATTGTTACTTTTACATGGACGCTCAGACGAAGTCCTGTCGACAAAGGTATTACGATCCGTTGGTCCTTCGTGTGAGTGATATGTAACACCTCCCTCGGTGTGGGCTCACCGACCTAATTTCTTTAACCTGTTAATGAATTTTTTAATGCATGATATATTATATATATAGTTGGTTCCTTCTCCATTAAACTCAGTTTCATTGTAAAAGGGACTAGTTCACTTAACTAATAATCGAG